AACGACTCCTAGACGCGTTCCATCGAACAATGAGACCAGGGACCAAATGTCGTCTGCTCCAGACCCAGAACCATGTGAGGGAGGGGAGATTGGTTGCACACGTGATTACCTGGTCTCAACCCGCCTGATTTCCTCTCAGTTGAAGCACAGCGTAAGACAACAAGCACGTGCTCCACGCCGAACATCGAAAAAAGGCACCCTCTTGTTCTCAGGCTGTCAATGACTATTCGGAGAGCAAGTCGTCTGCTGCTTTCACAGGAGTGGCGTTGGCGTCAGAACGACGCCGGGCTCTTATGGGCTGACTAAAAAAATAGTGAGTAGACCTCAATGCTCGATGGCTTGAGGTCTACTCGCTCTCTGGTTTCAAGCATTCAATAAGAGCTCGGTGTCGTTCTGACGCCACCGCAACTCCTGCGTCCGAACCAGACGAATTGCTCCCCGCATAGCGGTGGAGTCTGAGAGAGAGAAGGAGACGAGAGAGCGCAGAGACGCAAAGGAGCCAAGCTCTGACTGGAATGATCACTGTGTAGGCGGAAGTCCAGCTGCCTTTGTTTACACTCGCTCGTCAAACGCGTTCGAGCGCCTGACGCTGGCCTCCGACTTTTGGCGTTAGCGTTCGAATGCGTTCGAACATGATGCAAACACAAACATAGCTAGCTTTGAATCTACGGATTAATCGTGTGAGTCAGATCTTGTTGTCGCTGGCGTCCTCACGCGCTTTCACCTCCTTTGTGTGAAGACCGTGAAATGCGCTCGCTGCGACGTAGACGCGAGCTATCAAGACGGCAATTTAAGGATTCACCATACTCCGTTAACGCCTACACTCTAAGAAAAGGTGAGCACCCCCCTAGTAATCATGCGTTTTGACGGCTGTAACTACCCCACAGGCTTACTTAATAACCCCCTGGCCTCGAGCCACTGAGCGTCACCGCCCTGTTGGCAAGTGACAAGCATGGGGTAGTCACGTCTTATGAACTCTTGAATTGAACATTCAAGTACATGCAGCCGTTCAATAGTAAAAGTCACTTCAAAAATCTCAAAAAAGTACTTGAAACTTGTTTTCTTTGTGCGTTGGTTACCATTTATTCAAATTTGAAGTGGTCGAAAGAGGCGTGTGGCTCAGTTCGCCTAAACTGGCAGAAAACAAACTTGCCAAAGAGTACAGGCAACCTTGGTAGGCACCTAATAAAACCCGAGGCAGATAAAAAGTATGGCGGTTGTCCTTTTTGGTTCCGTCGCGGGTTTTACCATGTATTGCTAGTAAACAGTTGGCAACTGGCGTCGTGCTCGAGGAATTTAACCAAATCTCTAGAAAACCACAGGAAGCTACGCGCAGGCGTGAGTTCACTGGAATGTTCCCCGGACGAGATACTCTTGTCATTTTTTACTGTGCGGTTCAGTAAAGAGCGTGCTCCCATTAGAGGTGTGATCGGTAAGTTCTGCGTGCAGATCAGTTGCAAATGGCCTCCTCGGTTCCGCCAAACTTGTACCATGTCATACCCAATTTTTTTGCTTTCAAGTGCAGTGAAGTATGAAGCATTGAACACCACGACTGAGGCCGGACAGGACGAACGTACACAGATATCTGGGATCATGCCTGTGTATTTCAGTATTTCTCTGTCTTGGGATATATGATTCGCCTTCACTGGAACATTTAGCACATTTCATCGATCATACTCGATAAAAAAATGCTTCAAACAAGTGTGTCATCCAAGGTGGAGTACTTTGAAGGGGACTAGGATTTCAGGCCTTTCGGCACGCGTTCCTTTTACCTATACAAAGGATTCGAAGTAATTTTCGAAAAATAAGGCGTTGGCAAACATACACGTGCTATTCGGTTTAGATTTTTTTATTTTTTTTTTTAGAAAAAGTATTGCTGGAGAAGGCAGCAGGTGCAGCGCAGAGAACTATGTTCTCGGCGTTCTTTGACGCTTGAGGCCGGTTCAGACAATGCGTTTGACAACGTTGCGTCGAGAACCGAAAGCGACTCACCGGCACATCTGTGCTTCGTATGAAGCGTGGAATCCCATTCAAGGAATCGTCTTGGCACGCGATATAAGCAGCGGTGATGTCCTGGTTTCTCGCTGCCGCAGCGCAGTCAAACGCAACTGTCTGAACCAGGCTTCAGATAATTTAGTATACGTATTTCGCGTTCGCTGTAGGTGAAGGCACGGCCCGAAAACGGCAATTCTGCACTCTCCTCTTCGCGCGAACGTGAGCACATAGAACGCATATTTGAAAGACACGCGCTTGAGCAGAAACAATTGTAGCGAAAAGAAGAAAACTGGAGAACGCTTCGTGGAGGACCGGCGGACGGGCTTCGCTAGAATCACCTGCGCGCGCTCAGTGTCCTCAACATTTACTCAACCGCCGCTGAAGTCATTCGGATATGTAAAAAAAGCAAAGAAAATGCATCAGCGTGTTCAGAAAGTTGTGATTGCAGAAACTGGTTTCGATAATTAATATAATTAATTAAACAGGCTTCTGTATACTTGAAGTGTAAGCAAGCGAGAAAACGAAACTGATAAACGTGGCGTGTAGCGACTATTCAATTTGATTTATAAGCTGCAGTTCACTTTTGCAATGGATTACATAAGAGATACGAGCGCTTTCCTAAGGGCAGTAGAGAAAAATATTATATACGGATAAATCTTGCACAGTATTTTAGTATTTATGCAAAATATGACTGTGGTCACCATCCTAATCGGTCACAGAAAATACAGCAGTATATAAGCTGGTGGTGATGACTAGTCGTGTATATAGAAATGTAGAGTGTCAATATCTCATGTTGTACATTGTGCTGTTTGTGAATGCGTTCATGTATAATATTGTATGGCGTCTGTTAGTTGCGTATGTGTGAAGTGTGGTGTGGATTATGTAGTACGTGCATGTCAGGCGAGGCGCTCGGAGTAAAGGCTGTTGGTTTCTTTTTCCTTAATTTGAGCGCTCTCCGTTAAGTGGCGCGTGTCGCCGCCCAATTCAAGGAGTCGCGCGTTTATGTGCTACTTATTTGAGTGAAAAACATGGAGGCGCTCCATGGCTCCACGGAGCAGCCACAAAGGGTTTGGTTCTCGGCCTCTTGTCTCAGTGGGATCAGTGGATCAGTCCCATAGACAGTTGAATGGGTGTTCCGTGCGGTAAATAGTGTGTGCACAGACGCGGTGGGGATTACCAGGGACTTGAAAGTGGATAACGAATGCTAACAAGCGAGCAGGAGCGTTGAACGATCGGTGATGCCTCGCCTCGCCGCTGTCAACCGAAAACGCCGGATCACTTGCGGCAAGCACAGCAAGCAGATTCGCTGTTCAATAAAGACATCATTTCATTTGCCGCTATACGATTCCTTCTTTGAATGTTTTATTGCCGCGAAGTAAATGCAGCCGGCCGCGCAAAAGCAGTCGCGAACAAACCCCCTCGAATGCCCCCCCCCCCCCCCCCCCTCACGTCGCAGCTTCTACTCGTAATAGGTGCGGTGCCGGTGCTTCGAGGCGCGTTTTGGAGTGTTTTCGTGCGCACGAAAGACAGCGAACGGGTATGCGCACTTGAGAATCGTATTTTCGCAAAAAGCAGTCCAGCCCGCTAGGCCTTACTCGTATTGCTCCACTGTCGCTTGCCAGCCGCCACGTTGCTTTTGGGGGTGCTCACTGTGACAACCTGTTGACTTCATGCCGCGTGACTACGCATGGGGTCGTTAGTATTACTAATGGGGGTAGCGATATCTGTGACAGCTTCTGACTACCCCAAATGTAGTACCCTGCGACTACCCTTTTGTTGAGACTGTAAGTTCACATTGTGGTTGAAGAACCCTGCTCACTGCTAATCTTTCGCAGTGTAATCACGATTCCGCACAAACCCAGGCACAGATTGAGGGTCAGGTGATAAAGGGAGGCCGGTAGATTGATGCGGAAGACACCTAGTTCCCAATGCAATATCAGCTTAGGGGTGGCTAAGTATTGTTGCGAACTTAAAGAAGAAAAGGCCTCGAACCTGTTATTTTGGGTAGTTCTCTCCTATGACGCTTCTACTAACACTGATTCACCCGCCGTAGGGGATGCTGCAAGTCTTCAACACTTATCATATACCAAGTGAGCATGAAGTGACCTGGATTACAGGGATGATGCGTGCGGGGAGTACTCACTCGATACGATCACAGCGCTAGATTTGTTGAGCTGGCTTATTCCACGCCCTGAGGTCCTTCGTGAGCTGAAGTGGGCTATACACCGTCTAGTGTCTACCCACAGTCAACTTCTCCACTAAACTTTGATGTCACGTCACGAGGCAAAGCTTTATAGGTATTCAAGTCTGTTGCAAGAAAGTGCAGCGTAAATCTGGGTTGGGCTTGAAGAGTGACTAAGCTTCAAAAGTTCACACCATTTTTGGCGCGGCACTTATTAGGTGAAAACACATAATCACCTGGAACGTACTGATCAAATAAGCGGTAATATAACGTTCCTAGAGGCATGTCATTGTCATCATTGGACAAATAGGGCAGCATTTGAAGAGGGTTTCGTTCGCGTTTTACAAGCGCAAAAGCTACACCCGTAGTTAGAGTGAATTCCCCAGTTAAAGAGTATCGTATAAGTAAGAATTACACGTAAAGTACACGAGGCACACTGAAGAAGTGACCTATTTTTGTGTCATCAAAAGTTTCAGTATTTTAGTGACTACAATAAAATGAACTTGCTAGTTAAGAACAAATTGTGTCAATGTTCCACAAAAAGGACATTTATGTTGTATAAATTACACAGCATTCAAAGATTAATACATGGTATAGGTGATGCACAGCTCGTATATATTTTATGGGAGTGGGAAGTTTGATCATACATTATTGTGCTTGTGTTTATGTGTGCGATAATTCAAAGTTTTCATGCAAGCCAACAGTTTCCACGCATTTTATCACACTAATTATTATTCCATAAATTAGGTAATTTATTACTATAGAGATCGAGTTGTCTCTTCAGTGCTTTATTAACTATGCCTAAAATGTACTTTCTTTCTAGGTTTCTACATGCTTCATCAACGACACCCACCAATGGATATGGTTATTTCCGATAGTCCTTTGAATGGGCCAACTATCCGGAACACAAACTACGCTTGTGTTCTAAATTTTTGGTACAACTACAACAGAAACAGTGAGTAAGGTTGTTCGGTTTATCAGCCGTATAAACCTATATGCTTCCAAATATCAGCTTTAAAATAATATAATTGTTAAACTGATGTAGAGTACAAGCTATGGATGGTAATCTTGCTGGTGCTTATTCTACACTTCAACAAAGAATTGTAAGAAAACTTTACATATAAAAGCTCGATACCTCAAGGTATTTCTTGCTAATGTTATGCAAACCTGGTTGAACCTGTTGAAATATCTGATTTGGGAAGTGTCATACACGACAGCTGACTTAAGGATGTGCGAAATATTCATAATGCAAGTCAGCTTCTTTAACCACAAATATTTAGGTTAACAAAATCACCACACGTAACTAAGGTGAAACAATATTTCTCGTGTCCCTTTTTGGGTGCGGTTAGTTTTTCGACAATACCTAATTAAATTGACTTGAAACAATGCAGTGAGAAAATATGAAGACGATGCTGCTCTGATGCCTCGAAGCACTTCTTTTTCGTTAATGTAATTCTGAGCTGCTTATCAGCAGATTCATGTGGATATTATTTTTACTTTCCTATTGCTTGATTGTATGTTTCAATAGAGCTCTAAATTTGTAATCTCTGAGAGTTATGTCCAACGCAGTAAGCTTTAGTTTTATGTTCCAGTCCTTTTTTATTACCCTTAGCAGTCTTCTGTTTAAAAGTTCTTATGATGGTATTTGACTAAGGTATTAGTTGAAATTATCACACCATTTGCTAATCAAAATCTAAAAGAGGCTCATGAGTGACTAATTGGTGCCATGGACAACAACATGCGCCACCGACGTCTTCTGGACACTAATATCGATATATTAAAATTTGGACAAGTCTTTCATCTGTTGATGTAAGAAATAGGAATAATAAGAATCTTCCAAACACAGGTTTGAGTTGTGATTAACCAGAGCTAAACTTTAACCACAAACTCAGTTATACATTTTTACTTCACAAGTCCTTGGAATTAATAACATTATTGTTGATTATTTGCGTACATAAAATATAAACCTGTATGGAAATGGTTCAATGTAACTAACTGAAACGCAGCCAAGTACCTCACATTTTGTGAGTAAATAGTTGCTTGTCGTATGAGATGCGGCGTTATTTAGCTGCATTTAAGATACTGCTTAAATATTTCAGAAATGTTCTACAAGTATCGTGAGGCTTTCGTATTGCCTCTTCAGGGGTGTGAAGTTATATAAATAAGAAGGAGAGGGAACTCATATTTATATTCAGTTTCTTCTTTTTTATACCAATTATTTCTGTTAACGCTTATCAGCCAAGTGAGGCTAGCTGCTTTATTCATATTTATCCCCAAACTATCGGGATTCTGAAAAAATAGTGGTTTAGAACCAAACTATAATGTGGAACGTTCAGTGTAATTTGTTAATCTTTCTTTCTATCAGATAATAGCGCTCACATGGATCTAATGATGAAAGTAAATGGACGGCAGATCAATATCTGGAGCCTGCGGTATGTCTATCCACTCCCGGACGAACGTACATGGTGGCATACGCGCATTTTGCTCGGACGTTACGCCGGAGATGTGAAGGTTTGTACAATAATTTACTCTTGACACCACTAAACCCGTAACTTATAAAATTTTTCTTCAGAATTCTTTAGGACTCTTGCTATCGAAAAAACAGAATTGCCTATGCCATAGCGTGATGCAATATTACGAACATGCTCCATCAGGACATCGATGAGAAGCGAAGCTTCGCGTTTTAGTCGCAGATATATGTATAAAGTGTCAAACGCGTTCTTTCGCGCCTCATGCCACAGTGCCAATATGTTCAACAAAATAATTTACCTTGATGCCAAAATTGTACTGCAAATATTTGTGGAGGCCAGCTTTATAGGAACCTAGTATACGTTGGCAGAAGATAAAGCGCAGTCACAATTAAATTTCGCCAGAGTTTTTTTCTGGTGAGGTGATATCTTGGTGGAAGCCTGAGCAAGGTGCAAGGTCACGCGGCCTTTCAGAGTTCTACCACATTCAGATCTACGAGAAAAAAAATGCTGCAATGTGGTGGCTCCCCAGAAAAGTTTATTAGGGAAATAAATTGCACTGCGTTGTTTCCAGTTAGCTTCCTATCTTTGTTGTTTTCGCTGAATAGCGCTACTATACTCCGTTCACCGCTACCGTTATTGTGCGACGGAAGCTACGTGCTTGTCGGAACAATCGTACACGTAACTGTCGTCACGTGATCACATTCTCGCCCCATCCCCACGCTGTGAAGAGAATGTGGTCTGCTAATGAATGGGTGGTGGTTTATAGGTACGGCCAAGTTGTAGCTCCCATTACCAAGGTCAGCTTAGGGGAGGACTGAGAATTACACGAGGGTTTTCTCATCTAAGAACGTTTTAAACTGATTGAGTTGGATAGCGTAGTGTATGTCGCATGTTTTAAATGTTAGTTTTGAGGAGAAAGCTGGAGAATATGTTTTGCAAGCGACTCCGCCCTTGACTCCATTGCGCCGCGGGTGTGTCCGGCGTTAAAGGAAAATGTTCTTCAGGATTTCAGTTGTTCCCTAGTTTAGATCTAGGCACCTTTCTCGTATCTCGCCAATTTGTTTTTAATAAAACATCTAAAACACGTTTTACTTCTTCGACAGTGAGGTTATAATTTTAACAGAAAGACAGTTTGATCTCGTGATAGTGTTACTTTTCTTTTGTTCTTAGAAGTTAATGATATGTCACAAGGACTAAGCACTGTTTCACTGATGCATCCGAACGAAACTTTGAATTTAGTCGATATTTACTACTGTCACTTGGTGCAACTAAATATACGGATACATGAGACGCATCATCAAAAAGATTTTTTTATGTAGTTCTGCTTTACTGCAGCGAGTTACAGCGAGCTACTGCAACATTCACCTCCCAGCTTTGCTGCAGTGAGTGTAATGTAGCAGTCGCCTGCAGCGGTATTTCAGCAGGGTGGCTATCCTACCAATATCTTCCGGCGCATTTTAATACGCTTGGCAGCACGCGAATCACTAGTTGTCACAACTTCCAACAGACTGTAGTGGCCCGCGAAACAAATCGTGTGTTCTCGAAATTGTTTCATAAGGAACACATTCTCGAAACTACCGTTTTCATTACAAATTCACAATTTTTTTAACAAATTAGATTTATAAGCTCACATAACTCTTTACAGATGCTGTCAAAAAATGTCGTTCTTGTTCATGAAGCTCTTTCGTTCTGGAAAATTATACTTTCAATATGTCGGCTTAATATAAAGTGGGATATTTTGAACTTTAATAAATCATCTATCTCATTCGTATTATTTTTTGCAGCAGGTATTGTATTTAGAAACAATAATTTAATTGAGAAACTTTCTAAAGGCCAGATTTTGTTTTTGTTTTTTGGAATTACATTTTTTCAAGTCAATTACCACAAACATAATTTTTCTAATTCACTTAATATACAAAGTAGCGATATCTAAAGCCTCGTAAACACAGGAAATATATTTTGTCATATGGGTTTTCCTGGCAACAAAAATTTCTGACATTTTTTATAGTAACCGCCACACCGGGTCCTACTGCTTATTCCACCAGAAACAATTGATCATCAGATCTATTGCTAATTCATAAATATCGAAACCAAACACATTTTTTTTTACTTTTTATTAACCCTTGATTAGCCATTAAAACCCACAGGATCGGTTTCTATATCTAATACTATGCATAGGAATTTTTATATTATTTCCAAACTGACCTAAAGTTTCACAAGATTGACGCAGTAGCTAAAAAGTAAAACTTTTCGGGTAGCCCCCCATCTCCCCTTTATTTTGTTTCCAAATGTAAAACATGAAAGACGTTCACAACTCCCTGTAATGTGGAATTAGAGCGCAGCTCTTGAGGAGGGGGAAGGGATAGAACGGAGAGGAGGGTGTGCCCCCTCCTTCTCCTTCCTCTCCCCTCCTGCATCCTCCTTCCTCTTGCACCTCTCATCCTCCCCCTTTCCTCCTCCCTCTTCCCTAGTGACGGCACTCGTGACTCTCGTAACGTCACTCGTGATCTAGTGACCCTTGAGACGTCACTCATGGAGGCCTCGTGAAGGTCGTGACCTTCACTGAAAAGGTCGCGACCGTCGTGACCTTCACGAGTTACCTTCGTGTCATCACTCGTGACTTTAGTAACCCTCGTGACGTCACTCGTGACCCTTGTGACGTCACTCGTGACACTCGTGACTTCACGTGTGACGCCATTGTGGGAAACGTCCCATTCTGCAACGCGCGGTTACGCCGACGCCGAAAAGTGCGAGACCCGCGCGTTGCATCATGGGATGTCTCCCATAATGCAAAGCGCGGGACCCTCATGAGGTCATGTGACCCTCGTGACGTCACGCGTGCTGTCAGGTGTGTCGTCATTATGGGAAACGCCCCATAATGCAACGTGCGGGACCCTCGTGGCGTCACACGTGACGCTGCGTGTGACGTCATTATGGGAAACGTCCCATAATGCAACGCGCGGGTCACGGGTGAGGCTCGCGCGTTGCATTATGGGACGTTTCCCATAATACAACGCGCGGTTACGCCAACGGCGACGGCGACACCGCTGAAGCCGGACACTGGCGCTTGAGAACTGCGCTCTAACATTCTTGTCATAACATATTTAATAAAATGTGGGTTATTTTAAAACACGTCTTTCAATGAAGGCGAATTCTGGAGTATATAGTAGAAGTTACAGCGTAGTAAAAGTTACAGTTATATAAGTGTAATTTAAAGCGCAAGAAGGAAACCCATTCCTAGAAACAACTGCGCGGTGCTAGTAGGCACAGTGCTACAGCTAAGCGTGATTAACATTACCAAAAAGCACTGAAACAAAAATTAAGCGTGATACTTTATCTGCTTTCAGCGGCACATTCTATTCCTAATTTACTTCAGACACTTTATGTGCAGTAGATGCCGCTTAGAGCTTGTGGAATCGTCTGTCTGTGCATTTGAATAAAATGGTTTTATACTTGCTCTTTTCTTTTTAAATGAAAGGTAGCACGACATTTAATATAAAGAAAAGTAGGGCGAGATGGTGCTATAACACAGTGGCATTACGAGAAAAGGCGCTGTGCATTGTCAGTCCTTATCCTTCTTGTATCGTATTTTCGCATTGTTTTTTTTCCCTTTATGATAGCATACCATGTTTGTTTCCTTTCTCATCGCCACCAATAAATGCACTGCAAGTTGCCTTTATAGTTATAATATTTTGTATTATCTTCGTTTAAGTACTTAAATCACGAATAGGTACCAATGGAATCAAGCTCAATATTGAAAAGTAAAAAAAAAGAAACAGTGAGCGTGCAGGCGAGCTGTTGATAATTAATCATAGTGTAACACCCAAGTTTGTGGTGCTTAAAAAATATTTAAAAAAAACTTTCATGTGGAGGGTAGAGACAACAGGAAGAGATCGTCTAAAACGCAGCGTTCGATTTTTTATTCTACTTTTTTTGTTTCTTCTACTTAAAAGTTTCTCAATTTTTCTTCGAACCGGATGTTCAGGTGTTACATTATGATAGAAAAGTAGCAAGGTCTGGGGTCCTTTACTCAGTGCTTAGCTTAGCAGCAAGAAATATATGAGTACGTTGTGTGCGAGGAGAGAGATACACTGCGCGACGCGGGCATCGCAAATACAACACCGGCGATATTCTGCAGTTTTCTGCAATTGGGTATTGGCTTTTATAGAAGTTTACCATATATGCTAGAGATCGGAATGCCCACTTTACACCACACAATTCATTTTTCCGGCCCACCTTCGATGCTAAAGAGAAAAACAAAACATATTACCAACGATTGTTTCTTTGCGTTTTTATTACCGCGCTCTGTACTTCGTTTCTTTAGGGATATGGTTGAGAAAGTTCACGAAGCTTTAAATAAAATCGACATTAAGTAGCGCACAGAAAAAAAATACGACATCAGTTGTAGAAATATGACAATTAGCTATATTTTTGGTAGCTGTTTAATTAGTTGAGAAGTGAGGATAAATCAATATACATCAAACATTTATTTTGAGGCAATTAGTTTAAGCAGGTCAGTACAAACCGAAGAACAGTTCTCCCTTAAGTAAGTATATAAATGTGTTTTCCACGTGCTGCATAAACAAAGTGCAATTTATACCAGAACCTCTTATTATGATGGCTCTAACATCTGTTCCTTTCTTTCCTGCAGCTCTACTTTGCTGCGTTTGGATGGCCATGGAAAGAAGGATACTTTGCGATAGACGAAATAAGCTACGCATTTTGTGGATTACCTCGTACGTTAGACATAATCTCTGATGTCGCCTAATAAACACCGGCTCGTATTTGTCATGTGCACATTAACGATCCACCAATATATGACTCTAAAGCAGATAAATATTTTACACTGTACAGTGTGAACTTACAAACGGTATTAGAATATATAGGGTGTTTTCCTCTCAAAGTGTTTATGCGCCTAGCCTAGCAAACAGCCTAGGCAAACGCGTGCCTAGGCTGTTTGCATAAACGTTGAACGCACTATGGATCCAAATTCAACACACGCCAACACGATTTTGGCGAAATATGTGTGTAAATAATTGCTAGACATAAGCATTTTTTTAAATAAAAGAAATGTATTTCAGGAGCAGGAAGTTTGCACAAAATTAAATATTATATGTCTTTGTAAGTTTTACGGTTTACGTAACGGCCATTATGATGTTATCATCAATCCTTTCGTCCCCTTAAGTCAAACTCCTTGTATAAAGCATGCCGTGGTGTATTACAAGGACAGGTTTTATTGTTTAAAGTTACTCAGAGAACGTACTTCCTGATTTGGATGTTAAACAAAGATGAAATAAACCTTTCGTAACGTTTTTAAAAGTGCTCTTAATTGAGAAACGTATATGCAAAGTGACTGGAAGATATCGGGTGTTATGTTCTTTTTTTTTAATTGCAGAAATTTTTAATTTCAGCAAAAGTTGCCTCATGTAATGTACAAGAGTTTAGGTGTGCGAATGGAGCGTGCATCCCACAACTTCAAGTTTGTAACTATGTGGATAACTGCGGCGATGGCAGCGACGAAGTCAATTGTGGTATGTCTGTTTTAAACAAAGCGGATTAATGAAAGCGTGCTGTCATCATTTGTGAAGTCCTAGAGTACCCTCAATAAATTTAAGACATGGGAAAGATTTTTGGTTTGCATCGTCGGGGTATAGCTGGATATTTACAAGTATGGTTCCCGGGAGCCGCAATCTTGCTCGCTTGGGGGGCTGCATGGGCGCAGCCATAATCCGACAACAACGCCTTGGCAAGGCTTTATAATCGGATTATGGCTGCGCACAAGCGCACCCTAGAGAGCAAGATGGCCCAGCGGCCTGAGGCCGTACTTGCAAACGTCCGCGTGCGTGCTCAACTTGACCAACGTCGGTGCATGCACCGACGTTGGTATTGCAGAATAATTCAGGCTGCATTTAACACATTGTTTTTGCATTTGCCTTCTACCTCACATTAAACTGTTGTTAATTGAAAAAAAAAGGAAATGATAAGCACTGTAGGTTTTTGTTTAAGACAGTGGCAAAGTAAAGCTTCTTCGCCTTGAAACAGTGCGACTAGACACGGAAGAAGAGAAAGACTGGACGACATGAATGCTGCGTGTCTCGCTGTTTTAAGATGAATACGTACCAACTCGCAAAATAATTCATTCTCTTATATATCCTATTAGTATATGTTTCTTTAAAAAATTGAGACGACTGTCTTGTTTTTTATTATTATCAACTACCAGATTATTTTTCTGAACAGGATTATATATTTCCACCAAAAGAAAGAAAGACGATTAAAATATATATAATTTCCAAAATAAAAACCGGGACAATTCTCAAAAACTGGTGATCTGCCGCTAGTCTTAAACACTGGTAATCTGCTGAATCATAGAGCTGAGGGTTAGATACAAAATCCTAAAAAGTAAGTTATCAAATACCTAAAGCAGTACAAAACGTTGTAGCCTGTAGCAGCCTTGCTTACCTCGGATTTTATACGAGTGATAACACACTGATAAGATGCAGCAATTGATATGGTTGAGTGTAAAATATAATGTGGCTTCCCAAATATATTTTTAAGATCCGAGTTTTAACACAAAGATATATGTTCTTCATTCATAAGCACGACAATTTAAATTATTTGAGTTCCTAATGACTGTAAAGTATTCTTCAAAATCACACCGGCTAGGAAATGTACCACGGATGTAGCATTCACTAAACAAAAGTTTTACGCAGGCGAAAACTTCATCATGAAAATAATTTTTCTTTCCCCAGCACCTTTATCTAGCTCGGCTTGTATATTAACTCTGGCTGGCTTGATTTTTATATAAAATCTAGCTGTTGAGACTGCTTAGCTTATAAATTACCAAATGATTTTTACTTTGACTGTGAAGAAGGCTATGTAGGCATCGAAGTTATAAATATATTGTAGAATATACATTATACACTATGAGCTTGGCAATATAAGATTTTAGTAGATATAGTACCTGACCTCTTTAATAAAGCCGCAGCTTTACAGAGCAAACCAACTTCGGGAGCAGCGTACGAACGAAATGTGTAGGTCCGTAAGTCCGTAACCGCTAAACGATCTTGAAAAAAAAAAATAATAAAAACGGCAGCTGGTGCCAGGGAATGAGTCTCAGTCACCGGTCTTGGAAACCGAGTTCGCTGCTGACTGAGCTATGAGCCCAGTACTAGGTATGGGAGGAGCAGAACAAGATAGCGCGTGAAAAGCGCACAGAGGAGACGGGTGTAAAGAGCGAGATGGGGAGGAGGAGAAAGAGGTTGCCTAGAAAGGAGCGCGTGGAAAGATAAGTGAAGAGTGCAGGAAAGGGCGTTCTCCCCTCTCATGGTGACCCAGAAAGTTCTGCGTAAAGGGTTTGTATCCGGATGGTGCTGAAGGGAAGCACGCGCATCGTCACAAAAAGACACAGATGTGACGTAATCTGTATCCGTGAAAAAACCCTGCCTAGGCACCACTCGAACAAAGAGCACCAACCACCTTATAAAGCTACCGCAAATAAACTCGCTTGGTTGAATGACCAAACATGCAGCTATTTTTTCCTGCTTGCTTAAACAGCTAGCAGCTGAGTGTTTCCGATGACATCCGGCATGCTTTACTGGCCTTCTTTAAATAAAAATTGGGACAAACTCAGTGATTTATACAGGGTATTCGCTCAAGTGTAGCCGTGAAGGCTACACTTGAGCGCTTTATGCGGGAGAGTTATACGGCCAGGGGGAGAAGATATAGGGCGCTACTCGTAACGATCGGTCGGCTAATTAAGTATATATTGTTAATAATCATTTTAATTAGTGAAAAGAGATAAATGGTTTCGATTAGAAACTTGCTGAGCATCAACAAAAACCACCAAACCAAGTCGTTTTAGAAAGATTTGAGCCTGGCGCAGCATTTTGCGGCGTCCTGAAAAAAAAACGCTCAGTTTGGACGCGTTTCCAGACTTCGGTTTTGTCTCGGAGCGCATATCTGATCCCTCGACCCTGGCCCCCTGTGGAGAAGACGCGAAGTCCCTCCCCCCGCCTCCCTCGTAGGATGGAGGGAAGTAGGGCGCAGGTGCCTTGCGCGTCTCAGCCACTGGGGAGTTGCTATTTGCGCAATATCAACCAGGTGGTCACGTGAGGCTCCAGTGACGTCTTTTCTCTGTGTCACGCATTTCAGTTGGTAGGGGTCGCGCGACTTTTTTTTTCTCGCGTTTTGTCGCTTATAACGGAGGCGCGTGCCACCCCCCCCCCCCCCCCCCCCCTTTGTTCCCGTCCCCGATGCGTTCACCCCGCTTCACCGGCGACGGTCTACGGCAACTCATTATAAAAATATGTAACCCACTTGGCCCACCCGTAAACGCCGCTTCGCGGCGGCCAAGCCAAGCGTCTCGCGGAGCGATCACCTTTATGATGGCGAACACAAAAAATGCCAATCGAGGTGTCGCCAAGAAAGGGAAGGTCGCGTGGTCCTCACCGGCAGATATGCTTGGCGTAGAGAGCTGGCGTCACTGAAAAGTCACGTGACCCCCCCAATTGATGCTGTGGAGATAGCAAATCCCAGAGGGAAGTATGGCGCACGTGTGTTGCGCGTCTCGGCCACAGGGGATCAGGACCGTGGGCGCTGAGGGGCGCTCCGATAAGAGACCGAAACCTAGAGACGCGTCCATATTGAGTGTTGCTATGGGAAGCCGTAAAATGCTGCCAATGCTTTATATACTTCTAGAAAGAGTTGATTTTGTGGATTTTGATGACGCTCAGCAAGTTTTAATTGGAATCATATGTCAATTTTTACAAATTGAGAAGTGAATTAAAAATGTTCACCTAATAATCCGACTGATCGTTGCGATTAGCCACCTGTACTAGGTCCGTCTATCCATATTACTCACCGCATTAACCGCATAAGTGTTGCATTCATGGCATTTTTTGAAATAAATTTGTAAATCTTAAAAATACATCCTGTATGTTGACGACGGTATCTGAAAACAATGCAGAAGAAACTGGAAACAAATAAACCACGCGATCAGATATAAAAAGACATAATAGACATGCCTATATATTTGTTTCCTTATTTCTCCACTTTAATACATTTGTTTAATTTCAATTATAGATTGCATGTGCCCAAATCAAAGAAAGTCGTGCATTCAGACGACCAAAATTTTCAAATTCCACATGGAAACACAATGCAATACAATATGATTTTTTCTTAATCGCAAACATCTACATGTCAATTTTACGTGTGATCATTGTTTTCTGCCAGACTTTCCCTGTCAGATGGTACATAAATAAGGGTGTTTTCTTCCAACTCTTCAAAATTTCCACATCAGCTTTAATTTAACTTTCTGGGTGTAAGCCCCAGCTATATTTGGATAGCTTCATGTGTATAGTATATGTGTAAGATGAAATAAATTGCCTTCAAACATTTAAGATTGCAAAGCCCAATAACAAAAGTATTTTAAATTGAGAAATTTCTTTACGGGTATATGAAATATTAATGGTTATGAAGGAAACTGGGAGATTATATTTAAGATATAAAATATGGGCTACGGGATAGGCTTTTTACAGTCTGGTAGCCATACAGCTATAGAAGTGATGAAAAGTACCTGTGAACATAATTCTGTTAACACCGAGGCGTCGACCCCCACTGTAAGGTGCCATGTTACACTAGTTGGCATAATTTTATGTAGAAAGCTTGACTAGTATTTTTGTTTTAAACATATTCATCGTCTTCTTTACTATCTTTCTATCAAAAAACCTGATATAGTTCTTCCATTTCTTTTAGATGTTACTCCTTGAAATGTAATATGTTTTGTTTGAAGTAGAGTTAGTACTTATAATATTGCATAAAAGACACATCCCGTTTTTCTTTCTATCGTAATGAACGCCAGCTACCTGGCTTTTCTAGGGACACCTTTCTATATATTAGCATGCGGACTTGAATTACCTACAGTAATTTAGTTTTAGCACCAAAAAACCCATTTCACAACAAAACATTATTACACAACTGTCTATTTCGTATAATTGAAGAGAGCGTGCTTAACCCAGTAGGCTTAGAGCTGTTAGTTAGCACAAGAGAAAACTAATCTTTGATTTGATTCGATTTGAAACTATTTTTCTGGCAGAAGCTCTTGCAAGTAGTCGCTTGCCACGTTGAACTTAAGCGGCCAACATACATACCTTTTTATTTTCAGTTTTTAACATCTTATAATCTGTGCCCACATAACCCAATAAGTCTTGTCCGTGGGGCGCACAAGCCTTCTGGTGAGTGTTTTAGCTAGCCATGCAATGAACATAACAAATTTCTAATTCTTAGCTCAAAAAACGTGCTGACCAAAGCTATCTCCACTTTAGCAATTTTGACCTTAGAAACAACGGTATTAGAAGAGTATGTCGTCGTGTCGAAGTGAAAAAAATTACAGGTTTTATTTTTGTGAATTGATAAATCGATGACAAATTTATTTCACCTGTACAGATGTTTTTGTGATACGAATATCTTTTTCAGGTGATCACAACTCTGGTTGCAACTTCGACGCGTCTTTCTGCGACTGGAAACCCATCGTGCCTGCTGGCGGCGTCAATCCCGGTTGGATAAGAAAGAAGCCCGGTGGTAATATACTGAGGCAACCCACGAGGGACCACACCTCGGGACTGTACGAAGGTAATGCAGTGACTTCGAAGCCATATTTTTATGCCTGTTCTGCTTGGTTACTTCTAAAGCACGAAACACACATTAAATTATAGCAGGTGTTTTTATAGTGTTTAATCTCGAGGAACGTATAAATCTCTACATTGATAGTCGAAAAACAACTACCGTTCTCGACACTTCTGGAATAAAGCAGTTGAGCATCCCACAAACCAGGGACAAAATTGTTGTGCATATACTAGAAAGAAGTTTTCTGTTGGTTATGCCTTAATGGGTACCTCAGACCTGCTAAACTAAGATGTAAACTAAAACAGCTCTTGCTTATGGGCAGCGATGGTTCAGGAAAGTTTGAAGCTCGGCCAACCAACCAGGCTATTTTGGGCAGCCCATCGATCCCTAGCCAGTTTGAAAACCCATGGACTAGACTCTAATTTATTTTAGAAATTTATAATGTAAATACACAATAAGCAGGCAATTTTTGTGCAAGCCACAGGCTCGAAAACTAACTCAAGCTTGACACTGGAGAAAACGACAGTCATAGAAAATGCAGCAAAGAGAGACGTAAAGAAATGTTCTAAGCACAACACTGTAAGTGTGTTAAATTTTCTTCTCGGCGCACTCTGCTGTTCCGAACTCTTCTTGTAGTTTGTCACTTCGCTCCCGCTACTAAAACCATGAAATGGTTGGTAGATAAAAAATGTGCGCAAGGTGCGCGTCTTTTCTTTAAGTTTACAGCTATTGTTTATTCAATAATGCGAATGCCACGACTCACTTTGATGTACTACCGTGCGGTATTGTTGCTCAAACGTTAGTGTGCATTATTCGCTAGAAAATACTGGAAGCTACTTGAACGAGCTTGATTGTTCACATTTGCGGAGTTGGTTACAGTAGCAAATATTTTGATTTTTAACTGTAGTGAATTGTAGAGGTGCGTAGTGTTAAATTTACAATGAAGTTTGATTAAGGTTATACATGTCTAAACTAGTTGCAACTTGTGGTAATGCGTTAGACAGATAGGAACCACCTAAAGACACGGTGATGGACTGTAGAATTTAGAATATCTCCGCAGGAATGAGGAATTACGAAGTTTGACTCCACGTGCAAAGAAATTTGTTTTCTTCCGCGTCTTTCTAATTTTAGTAGTTATAATATTAAACCGTTATTTCTTCTTCATATCTTGACTTCTTTCTTCGTAGAGACCAATAAGGTTGAAGAAACATAACCTGCTATAGTCTTATTTCCTTTAATTTATTTTATTGTAATTGCGTCTAGCTATGGATTACATGAAAGTGAAAGCAAGAAGGATAATGTCGTCATATATACGCATACATCAAAGCAACATATAAGTAGTATCAAATGTCATGAGAAATATAGTGTAAGAAACGCAAAATAGATTGATAAAAATCACCGGCCGAGCACTTGAGCAGCTCCGGTGCGCGAGCTCGAGCACAAGCAAGGCATCGCCCGTGCAGGCGACGCGCGGTTGTGAATGGTAATGATAATATGGATGGTGAGAACGTTGCGCTGTAACAATATATATATATATATATATATATATATATATATGACATCTTGGGGCCAAGTAGGCTGTAGGCGTATTTTACAAAAGTAGAAGCCACCGAGGGTCAAACAAACTTGGAAGGTTTAATTCAACATGTATAAGTTATACAGAAACCGCGACGTTTCGAAGGGGGACCCTTCTTCCTCAAGCGGTACTTGAAAAGTGAGACCTCAAATGTCGAGCGAAATACCGCAGAGGCAAGAAAAACAAAAAAAGCAAAAAATACATAAAATACAAAGATAAAAAGATAAAAATAAAAATAAAAATTCAAACAGCAAACGCAAAACATGGACGAGACCAGTGGCGGCCTCATCTGCGAGCTCGCCCAAAGCACACGATCCTAACTCTCTGTGACTGGCGATAAGCCTTCCACCCAACCACACACCCACGACCCTGAGGTGGTACCTTCTTTGGTGGAGTATACCCGGAGGGAGCGCCCGGAGGTGCGGCGGATCTACGTTTCGCTGGTTTTGCCTCGACACATCAGCCGTCGGAGTTTCCGGCCGAACCTAGGGTTCGTACTTTGGTTCAACAACCAGGCAAGGCTCTTCAACCAAAGCGTCAGAAACCTGTGGAGACGTTCTCAGACCGTGTTCTACGTGGTCCACGGCTTTGAGGACCTTCCGCCACGGCGATTCCTGGCCGCCGATGGTGCGCACCCCAACTTTCTAGGGGTGGCCGTGATCGCGGAGCACCTAAGGGGGATCCTTCCCCGTGAAGCAGCTCCATCGCCTCCCTCGTGGTCAGCGATTCTATCTTCTGACACTGGACCTGACGTGGCCGACGCTGTCCGGACGTCCCGCACATCATCCACGCAAGAGGTGCCAGTGTCGTGCTCTACGCGACCGAATGGCTCATCGGCGGCGAATGAGGCGCCACTGGTGCCTAGAGAGTCGGACTTCCCGCCCGTGGAACAGGAGGGAGTCGAACCGCACTCTTCGCCGATCCCGGTCCCTTTGCCTCGTCGCTACAACCTGAGGAGACAACTCTCTGAGGTCGCCCGCTTCCGAAATTGACTGCCTTGTGAGACGACGTCTGATCCGCCTTCTTCTAATCCCTCTTTTCCTAAATTACGCAAAATCTCAGGTAAGCGAATTAGACACCAACTACACAGCTCCACCCTTCGCGTTTATTTGGAGGCCGGTATTTCGCCTAAGGGATTACGCCGGACTCATCCACCGGCAATGAACGATCTCTCTGTCAGTGACCGATCGGAATGGCAGCGAGTACTTGACGCTGCTTCGCTCAAACTAGTGGAACTAACGATAACTCTATTTGAAAGAAAGACCACCTGGCTAACTAAAACAGGAAAATATCATACTTCAATCTTACCCCTTCACACCCATTGACATTCAAGAAAAGAACAATTTTGAAACGAAACTGCGAAAAGAACTCGTTACTGTAAAAATTAGAAAATTTGCTCGAGACAATGTCAACCATGATTTAGAGAAATTTAGAATGTACACAGAGGCCAGGCTTGAACATACATTAACTTTAGAAACATATTCCCCACCCGCAACTCATTCTGCTAGCATTAACAATGAAACACAAATCGAAAACAGTGTGCAAAATGTAGTATATCTGTCGAAAATCACGTTATCCCCTATCGAATATGCACTACTTTCTAAAGAACTAAACGTTTGTCCAACTTCGGGGAATTGCGACGAATTTCGCGTCTTCCGTGATCTTGATAATTTCGCACGCAATTTGAGGCTTCGGAATTATTTCGCAGACAAACCACAAGCCACAGAAGATTTCATCATGCCAGGCCACTCCCGCGGCTGGACACCAGGCAAGGGGCGGGACAGATGCCTGGATCTATACATTGGCGCTGTTCAGCGAGAAATTATGCAGCAATTCAGGCAAAAGAGACCAGGCAGGCAAAACCTCAACTTGAGTGAGAGGAATGCCCTTAAATCACTCAGCTTAAGGACAGATATCGTTCTAAAGCCCGCCGATAAAGGTGGAGCGATCGTTATAATGAACTCGGACGATTATTTGGCAGAGGGCCTCCGCCAACTAAACATCTCAAAATTTTACAAACATCTTACATGCGACCCTACTTCGCCTCATACAACCATTGTAACTAAGGCACTTTCAACATTGGTCAGACAAAACAAATCACATCGAACGTTCGAGCAGGCGTAAAACAAACACAACCCACCACCGGCCGCATTTATTTGTTACCGAAAATTCATAAAACTAGAAACCCGGGTCGCCCTATTATTTCTGGAAATGCAACATTAACTGAACCACTTTCGAGCTTCGTAGACAATTTGATAAAACACATTCCACCCACATTCCCTTCTTACATAAACGACACAGGTCACTTTCAGAGGGAGGTTGCGCGGGTCACTATTCCGGACGGGTCGTTTCTGGCTACGTTGGATGTTTCGTCCCTGTATACGAACATACCCCACGATGATGGCGTGGCGACACTTTTGAGCGCGTACACGAGCAACAGGTGAGTGGACACACTCGAAGTAGACGTTGTCGCAACACTGACCAGGTTGGTTCTGGAGTTGAAATGTTTTGAATTTAATAACAGCCATTACATTCAAATCAGCGGCAGAGCTATGGGTACAAAAATGGCCCCAAACTACGCAAACATTTTTATGGTCGCCCTTGAATCACAGTTTCTCGAAGTGTCTCCCCACAAACCCACATTTTACAAAAGGTTTATCGATGACATTTTTTTCTAATTTGGGCCCATATCAAAGATCAACTGCTCATTTTTATTGAGCGCTTTAACCAAGCACATCCGAACATCAGATTCACGCATGAATACTCTCGCACGTCAATAAACTTCTTGGATGCAATCTTGAGCGTGGAGGGGAACAAGCTACAAACAAGGCTTTATTGAAAACCTACCGATTCTCAAAAATCCTTGCATTATCAGAGCTCTCATCCACGTCATTGTAAAAACAGCATTCCGTGCAGTCAGGCCCACAGGTTTCGACGCATCTGTTCAGAAAACAAGAACTTGAACGAAATGTCGCCGATCTCCGAGGGGTGCTCTTGCAGCAAAGGTATCCAGCTGGCGTGATTGAAGACGCCATTGACAAAGCCAGAGCACTTGACCGCGAAGTTATTTTGACCGATCGCGACAAGGTAACTCGTGACCATCGGCAGACCAACCTGGTCATTACATGTAACAATAACGCTCCCAACGTCATCAAAATCCTTAGCAAACATGTCAACATAATTGAACAGAGTCAACGATTGAAACAAATAATCCCATCACCTCCCCGCGTAGTAAACCGACGTTCAAAAAATTTGAGAGACACCCTCTTACATTCGCGCACAACGCGCGCCCAGTCTTCGGGGGGCAGCTTATGTGGGAAACCTAAGTGCAAGGTGAGCCCCCACATGGTGACGACTGATATTGCCAGGAGTACGAAATCAAACTTTAGCATGAAAATCTACGGAGATCTCCAGTGCTGCAGTCCGAATGTCGTCTACCTTCTCGAGTGTCAGGTGTGTAAATGCAGTACGTAGGACAAACCGTGAGAGCAGTCAATGAAAGGTTTAACGACCACAGATCTCACTCCACCAAAGTGCCCAGCCTTCCACTTTCCAAACTTCTAACACTACCAAACCATTCATTTGATAAACTTTCTGTTACGCTGCTTCAAGCTGGCTTTAAATCAAATCTAGAAAGCGAACTGAAAGAAGCCCACCTGATCTATAAGTTTGATGCTGTAAAATGTGGAATTAACGAAAGTCCTGGGATACCCACTTGTGTTCAGCTGTTGTGAATATGTTGTGCGAAGATTTATTTGACACTGCGATTCATTTTTGGTCGACTTCCGAGTGTAATAGTGGTGCCCTAGTGTCGCGGATGGCGTCTGGACCGTTTGCGGCGGGACTCGCGCTTTATCTCTGGGAGCGCCGGTTCTCTCCGTCGACGACGCGGCGCCTCCTCGGGGCAATGCAGAGCGGCTTGGCGCTTACCGATACCAGACAGTTGTTTTCTGCGACGAGTTGGTCTCCTTTATCCCTCCTGCTTTACATTCTTCCTTAAAATTTCCTGCCCGTCAATCATCATATTCCGCGACTGCCGTGTGCAATGCACCAGGTGATCGTGGGCGCCCTTGACGAAACTTAACTGCAGGGACCGCGACGGGGCGATCGCTGTGCGGAGTTGGCCCGCGGCGGGCAATTACGGGTGTGCCCGGTTCGGACCGCCCGTCTTTGCCCTGCGTGCCATACAAGGTCGTGGGTGTGTGGTTGGGTAGAGGGCTTATCGCCGGTCACAGAGAGTTAGGATCGTGTGCTTCGGGCGAGCTCGCAGATAGGCAGCCACTGGTATCGTTCATGTTTTGCGTTTGCTGTTTGAATTTTTATTTTTATTTTTTATCTTTTTACCTTTGTATTCTATGTATTTATTGCCTTTTTGTTTCTCTTGCTTCTGCGGTATATCGCGCGACATTTGAGGTCTCACTTTTCAAGTCCAGCTTGAGGAAGAAGGGTCCCCCTTCGAAACGTCGCGGTTTCTGTATAACTTATACATGTTGAATTAAACCTTCCAAGTTTGTTTGACCCTCGGTGGCTTCTACTTTTATATATATCTATATATATATATATATATAAAGGCCGGACTCCAGCCGAAACGTCGAAGAGTAAACCGCCCGTTGCTGTTTTCATTACGGGTTCTCTTTTTTTCTCAGTTATATATATATATATATATATATATATATATATATATATATATATAAAGCGTGTTTCCTAGGCTTCAGATGTTCTTCAAAGCAACGCTGTGAAAGCGACACTAGTCTGGCTTGTGTAGGCTAGTTACATTACCAGGGGGTCAAAATAATGGAAAATAATTGTCATAATAAGTCGAATAACTACCTGCACTGTGTGATTTAACCTTTCATTAAAGAAAATAAACATAATTTAAATTATATACTTACTGGGGGTCATTAAAAATCACGAAATTAGTAAATTTTTATAAACATTTTGAGATATGAGAACGGCGATGGTGCGCTAAAGTCAACACTTTTGCAACAGCGCGAGGAAGGCGTTGAGAAAACGCCGATTATAACATTACTGCACGCTTAGCATCCGCCTTGATTGTGCTGCCAGTAACTTTAGACCACCGTCGCGCTGCTTACGCACTCTAAAAATTTATAAAGTTTACTGATATATCGTGTTTTTTTATAAGGTTCAATAAGATTGTAATCAAGGAATCTTTTTTTCCAATTTAAAAACAAATTAGATTTAAAAGAAAAGACTGAACTAAGGGAGCTATCGCGACGATTATTTGTTATATTATGTGAGCCTGGACGTAAAACGTACCTGCACAGACCGCATGATTGTAGGTCTAAATATTTCCAGAACAAATATGAGGATTGAGACTCAGAAAACACTTTCCAACACGAAATTGCAAACAAGGGAACTGTCCATGCTAGAAAAATTACAAGATTAAATAACACTAATGCAAAACGCTAATGATAAATTGATACTCGTTTCACAATTCACTGAATTAACGAGGACAACAAACACATTATTCAAAGTGAAAAAAAATCATCAAGGAAATAACAAGTTAACATATATAATATATTCAAGAATTTCTTTGAACAATATTGAATCTGGAGGCGTAATTCAGAAATTACTTGTCCAGCAATTTCTGAATACGGCGGAAACTTGAGACAGGGTTGGCATCAAGGTATACAAAAAAAAAAATTACAGCTGCGTAGGAGGCAGCAGCATGCATTTCCCGTCAACCGGTCATCTAGCAAGACGTGTATCTCGAATAGCCTGTGATATTCAAATTGTATGACGAATTCACAATTATTTTAGTGAGGACCTGCAGAACGCGCGTTCTTATCAAAGCCAAAAACACGTAGATTTGTAAGCATGAATGATGTGTTGCAGATCAGGGGGCCATGCGTTGCAAACCTGACTCGAACATATATTTTTAAACACTCGCGGCTGCCAACGCTCCGCAATATAAATAAAATCATAATCTTGTGGTTTTTTTTTTTGTTTTTTGCAGGACAGTTTTTACAGTTGGACGCTGGCAGTTCTAAAGTAGATGCTGAGATCGCTGGGCCCATTCTGGAAAGCAGCTCTCTCTGCACTGTAAGTGTGTCAATGGGTAGCAGTAAGATGTTATTCGGTTTTACCTTATACATTAATTGCGACATTTTTTCCGCAGACCCTCTCTTGTTCCTTAGAAATCCGGCTCTGTAGCACAAAACGAATGCGCATGGAGTGAGCGTGCTATATAAATAAGCTGGGACGAAAGAGCAAAATTCCGAATGTCCCTATGTAGGATAGCACTCGGGACTCAAGATTCCGAGCCCGACGTTCAACCAATGTGCCAAAACATAAACTAACAAAAAAAAAAAAAAAGCCCGAAAAATATTTTTTTTTTAAATTTAGCTATTGATTAGCTGTAGTAGCTTTTAAAGCTGCTTGACCTTCACCAGCATCTACGCAGCCGAAAAGCAATCGAAAGAAATAAGATGTTCGTACTTGTGTCCGCCATAGTGCAGGTATTCCTTAGGTTCTGAAAGAGTGCATACTTTCAAAAGGACCTATGATAAAAATCATACTCTTGCTGTAAGTGCCATAGTTACCTTTATAATGCATTGGAAGAGAAAAAAACAGACCGAAAAAGAATGGGGAGTTTGGCTTGATAGAAAAAAGCAGGGTTGGCTCGTTTTGCTACATACTAGAATCCAGTAAAAAAAATAATTTCCTCACTGCAAAAACAAAAGGTTTTTTTAGTGCTCTACTGATATCCCTTTCAGAGGCATTAGCGAAAATGCGTGTCCATATAAATAAGGAAAAACTTTTTTTTTTTTTACAAAGAAAAAAATTATTTGTGCATTCTTTCAAACTCGAACGGATTTGACAATGTAGCTAAGGACTTTCCTTACATAAATAATTTCGATTTACATGCGGTTCGTTTTACTATATCATTGTTCGTTTCCTTTCGCGTCCGTTGGTGGATATTTTTTTTTTTTGTTGTGCCGTACAGTGCTCTTCTGAAGAAGGTCACCATAAAAAAGAAGGGAATTTGCGTTAGGGTTTTTGGGTGACCGTGGGAGTTACAAGATGCAATATTGGTTGATTAGTTAAGTAATTAATACAATTATATCGAATAATTTTTTACGTTTTATTTTTTTGGGCCCACAATGGTAGTTGGAGAATTTACGTTCGACGTCATTAACCTCTAGCCACCAGCTGAGATTTTCATTTAAAAATTCATGGCGGGCGCCACAGGGCGAGTAATGTCATCACGGCTTTTTATCAAACGTTTTGAAGATATGTCGCCTGCGTGAACCATTTAACGAAACTTTCGTTTATTCGAAGTGCCCCAGCAATCAACACGTTGCATAATCTGGGATGTATACAGTCATATTCTGTAAACTGAAGTATACAGTATACAGTCATATTCTGTAAACTGAAGAGGTGGTGAGTGTGATGACAAGCGTGACAAGCCCAGGAGAAACGAGTTGTAGTTGCTGCTTTTTAAATTATCCAGTTTTGATGAAGTCAATAACTTCACAATTTTTCCTAAATAGGTAACCTTCTTCCACACGATCTACGGGAGCGTCTCGTCAACGCTCACATTCGGCATCAGGTACAAAACAGGTGGTCCTCTCATACCACTCTGGCGAAGAACCAAGCCCACTGGGTTCTTCCACTTCATCGAAGCCTATATGGCCTTCCGTCCACTGGCACCCTTCCAGGTATACTGCTATTTTGATCGCGGTGTAAACCTGAATTTGTGCTTCTAAACCGATACTTCAAGGAAATTGTACTCGAGAGCAGCTCATTTTACAATTTAACGTGGACCGTTCTTCGCCTAGATGTTCCGCATTTCGTGTTGTCTGTATAAATGGCGTGACCCCGAACGCAGGACACTGATTGGTTCACGGGTGGGAGAGAAGGTGTGACGTTGCCGATACTTATTGGTTAACGAGGAAGTCATGTGACCAGAATGGTAGGCCGGTACGAGCGAGGTAGGCGAGGAAGAGCTCGACCACATGTGTGCACAGAAGGAGAGGAGCTCGAGAAAACGAAAGGGTCTGAAAAATAGCCAGGATTTTATCAGCCTGAATATAGGTAGTATCGCTTAATATGAGGAGCAACCATCAAGTTTACACAAGTGACCCGTTAAGCTATTTAATGAAGAGCGCGGTAAACGTAGGCATCGGGTGTCTGGAAACCCAAAGTATCGCGAAACGTTTGTGATGATAGAACGTTCCACGTAAGCAGACAGAATTGCGTAGCTATTTGCATTAATTTTAGACGCAGCTACGTTGATGCCAATAATGTCCTCCATTTTTTTAAAACTTGTATTCACTTCTTGTATTACAATGTCTGACGTTTTGACCCTAACTTATTCCTGGGGCACACGCGTCAATACTGTAATTCAGGGATTTGTGTGGGTCAAAGAAAACAAAATTGGAGGCTTGTCTTGTGTTCGTCAGTTTTCTACACAATACTATTAAAAGACGAGTTTAATACCAACCCGCGCCTAATTTAAAGACGTTTCCTCTGTGAAGCATTGAAGTGAAATAAACTTCATATATGCGTACTCCTTACAATTGTTCAACGGTTTGTTCACACGCAAGAACCCCTGCCCAATCTTCCCAGGTTTACCGCTAAGCGGCAAACTCGCGAAATAAATTAAAAAAAATGAACTAACTTTCAAGAAGTTTTACATCTGCTCTTTGCCAACACCGCCAAGAAAAAGCGGCTGCATTCCACGGCCAGAACTTTCTTTTAGGCAGTTTTTCTATCTGTATACTGAGCCTCGAGATTTGAGGTGTTTTGAAACCCATGTGGTAATTGTTGAGAGGTAACGAATATTCCACGTTTCTTTTCATAATTACTCTTGAGACACTGCGTGGAATCTAATGTGTTCTATGGAACAAGCCGTTTCAGCAATCTTCAAGACAGATACATGTTTATTCCTCGCACCGAAGTCACACTAAAAAGCATACAGGCCTAAGTAGGTGTCTTTGCCTTTCACGCAACGCAAAAAAAGAAAGAGACCAACAATCAAATTAAACTTCGATGTCCATATCACTGGAAGAAGGTTTTTATGAGCCTGATATTAACGCTCTTGTTCTTAGTGTTTTCACATTGTCTCTTTTCGTCGCGTAGGTATTCTTCAGAGGGATGCACAATGCTACTACGAATCCTTCCTATATTGCCATTGACGACGTGTCCTTTTACAAAGGATGTCGTCCTTATCACGGTAAGTATTATGAAAGCCACGTTTATTAGCTATTTTTGAAAATATTAACATTTCCGCAGATATAATCCACAGTGAGACATGGTGGAACCCATATACGTAAAGAAAAAAAAAACTGGCTAGATTACCCGACTTTCTTAAATATACAAGGGGTCTCTAAAAAAAGAAATGAAGGTGACTGGTTTTATATGCATAAAGACCAACTACGCACTGCCGAACGCTCACTTTTCGGAAAAAAGTAGTGCTAGCAATTTAGCCGAAAAACCAGTGGTATAACTAATCGTTATCTTATTAAAAAAATAACGGCGATTATATAAGAAAAAAGAAATAAATGGTGGCCGACCTAGCTCACGGATATATGAATATGATTGGCGTCAAGTACAAAGATTGAGCCTTTTTCACGTCAAATTTTTTTCAAATCATGAATTTGTTTGTCACATGACGAATACTTTGATGCCTTGGGATCTGGAACGGAGCACTAAAGCTCCTTCTGGGCGGAGACAGCAGAAGACGAAGCGTACTTTATTTCTGCATTGATGAAAGAATTACTTATTGTTGGGCGAGTTGATATTGTACGTCAAAAAACATGTTTGTGTTTTAAGACAAGGACAGAGGAAGAACAGGCACCACAGAGCGCTATGTGGTGTCTCTTCTGCCTCTCTCCTTGTCTTTTAGCACAATCACGTTTCCTCACGAAGAAACAACTGTGATAATTTTTTTCTTTGACCGAACTATAGGTTTTATTTACACTATGGTCAGACCTTTTACATAATATACACAATTCACGTAGTGGAATCGCATACCGTGAACGATAGCGACAAGCAGCGGAAAACAAGGCAAAAGACATAGCTATTTGGTGACACAAAAAACACATTTAATATTTGTCGTATGTGCAATTAATTTGTATTTAATTAGGGGAATGATTGCATCTAAAAAGTATTGGTAATGACGAGCTCAAATATGAAGTTTTGTGCTGCCTGAACAAATAATGGAGCCATATATAATTGAACAATTGTAGACATTCTCCGAGAGTATTACATGGTACAATGTGCTACAATATAAGCACAAACTACTTGCAGCTAACAATTAAGACAAATATTACGTACGAGAAGAAAATACGCAACGAGGTAACGATATATAACGTGTTTACTGAAGAAAAAAACGGCCGCAGTGTTTTCGTGTGCTGGACTTTGTTTATTGCAAAATGCCGTGCTTTATTGATTATGTACTGCTAAACCGAATTTCGGATTTGCAATATTATTGTCATTATCGAAGTTTTTTGGAACATTTGGTGACAGATAGACTACACAGATGGAATGAAATAAGCTACTTATGATAATTGAATTGAAACACAAAAGAGCAGAGAAGCAAATCAGTTGTCTTGTTTATAAAGTTAAACTACCTAACTTATCTGTTCAATCATTGCTTTGGTTCGGGAATCAATGTTTAAAAACTTTGATATTATTCTTCATCGCAGGCACCAAGCAATTAGAAAGCATTTCTTTCTTTCTTCATATTACTGCAGATGTCACCAATGTAGTAAAGTATGACCTACTAAGATATCTAATTTATTTAAAAAAGGTTGCAGGACCAATTTCAGAATATCGCAAAAGACGCGATGTCGGCATCTCTCCTGGCCGTCTATCTCACGTTGCCTCAATTAGAGCAGGATTGTGCGTGGTCTCCTGTGCGTCCTCCTCTCCCGACACCTCCCCGCAGCTCATTGCTCCGTTTGCCACAGGGAGAGCGGTGGTTCCAAACGGCATGTCGGGTATCAGCACCCAAGCTGAGCCCGGGGTTCTCCAATCATGCAGTCTAGGGGACGCGTTGGTTGCGATTAATATGGATAAGGCTGTCGGCCGACCACCACAATACCTCCATGCACGCGCACATTGCAACATTCTGTCGCCTGTATTCCATGTAGGAAAACTGCCCGTGGAACCTGTGACGCCACGCCCTATCGGCCCAGCACTGTGTCCCGAAGGACAGTTCACCTGCGTCGCGTCTCGACAATGCATACCTCTAAGTCAGGTGTGCGACTTCAAGCCGCAGTGCTCCGATGGATCCGACGAGAAAAACTGCGGTGCGTCTTTCTATGCTGCTAATCGTTGACTAATAACGTATCAAGCGGTGCTATTTTAGTTTTTGTGTGCCATATTTGAATTATGCACACTCGCAGACCCATTTAACTAGAGCATGGTACCAAACCAGCCTGGCGAAAGATGGCGCCGCCCAGTTGCCACGTGGCTCTAGGAATACTAAAATTCAATTCATAAATCACTTTCGAAAAAAAAATTAAATCAAAAACCACTTCACATTATATTTGATACGAAGTTAATAATGAAAGGGTGACTGCTATTCACGCTTACTGATTACCAGCTGAACGTTAGGAAAAGCATTAGGAACGTTAGGAAAAACCAGCAGTGTGTTTCTTTCTCTCTTCGTCGCTTTTCCTAACGTTCAGCTGGTAATCAGTAAGCATGGATAACCAACCGGCTCAGCTACAGGCCATGACTGCTATTCTTTTGGCAAATGGTGGTATCAAGACGGGTGTTACATAGATTGTTTTTGCACTTGCAAGTGTGTTTCGGAAACAGTAAATTTCTTGAGTGCTTACGTTTATTGATTTATATGGTAATTTATCCTTGTAATAAGTACGGTACAAGAATGTGTCCCCATAAAAAAAAGAGTTGACTTTATAAAGCCAAATTAGAATTTTCGGATAAAACCGACCATATATATTTTTTTTATATTAAAAACTGTGCCACAGTGGCAATTTATCTTGCTGATTGCCTGTTTCCATCTCGTAGCATAAATTTGTTGCTTTCATAAGTTTATTTAGGTAATTTTGACAACACTGAAAATGCGACGTATTAAAATCGTTTCACACTCTTGCATGCCGTTCATAAGGCTGGCAACCTTTCCACCCCTTCAATATGACTAAAGACAGGATCACAGATCAAAGTTCTTAGGTGTCAGTTGGTGAACGTAACGGCCATGACGATTTTGGTCATTCGAATATCCACAAAAAAAATATTTACTGCCACACGAAATTGTGCGACCTTTTGGCGTATAAAACAGTACTGTTGAAAGTTGAATCGAAGCTTAAATGTAGCGGCACTCATAACTTGATCTAACCCAACAGGTGCCTGTGACTTCTCCACCGATCTCTGCGGCCTTACCACCGATTATCCTAACGCGAAGTTTACTTGGAACCGAACGTCGGCGGAAGAGGCGGCAAAAAGTTCTTCTGGAAAATATATTTTGCCGACTAAGGACCGGAAAAACAATCCACAGGGGTTCTACGTTGCCTTCAGGCTAACAAACACAGGTAATGTGATATTGCGTGCCAGCATTGAGTTCTTTTAAAGGGACAATGAAGGCAATTTCGGACATCGTTTTGGCGATTGAACTTTGTTCCAGGCACGTCTCAGGCCACGTTGCCCAAATTTCAGCCGAAACCGGCGCTTGTGTGCCGCGCAAATCAATTAAACAGTTGCGGTAATAATCGTACCGGGATCGACTGGGGCGACGCCCCGAGAGTTGAGGGAGAAGCCAGCAGAAGCGGAGCTCACGTGACCGATGCGAGGCCAAAAAGCGCGACGTCACAAGAGACGCGTCAGCGATTGGTCAGAACGATAGGCGTGCCTCGGTCACGTTTTAGTTCGCAGTTTTTAGGAATACTGTTTCAATTTCCGCTTGAATAACCATGAAACGTATAAATCTGACCGTAATGATTACTCAACCGTAAATAAAGCAGCATAATTATTTTTCTCTTTGCTACGCTGGACGCGAAACAGCCAACGAGCAACTATGGGCACTTCGGCATGCGGGCCGCTCGCAAAAGGCGCTCGTTACCGGCTGGGCGGTCTCCGTCGGGTGATGGCAGAGGCCGCCACACACATACTCCCGTTCCGTTTGTGTTGGGCCACTGAACGGAAGCTCGAACTCGCTCGCGAGAGCGGCATTGCCGTCCATGTTGACAGATTCGACGAAACGACAGCGCCACCGCGCTGCCCTAATCCACCGCAGTAACCGGAGTCTCGATCTCCTAAATACTACCGATATCGACTTACTCTCATTTGACGCCACTCCTACGTCACCTCCGGTTTCGGAGGCCCAGAAACGAGAATGAAGATTGATCAGTTTCGGTTTCTTTACTTCTTTCGTAGGCACAGAAATACGCGTCACAAATGTCTACAAAAAATTGGGCAGCATGCTGTTACCAAAATGCATAAAAACACCATTTAAAAAAAGAATAAATAAAATCGTCTTGATTGTCCCTTTAAGGTCTAGGTTCCCCAGGATCGTGTCCATGTATGTCGACACAAACCTACCTGGAAAGCTACCGCCATCTATAAGCGGCGGTGGCTAGTACACAGCCAGTATGGTTTTTATATATTGTCTGTCTCTAATATATGTATATATATAATAATCTACATAATTCTAGATGTAAATCATACGAGAACGCTGCTAATATGCCGCTGAAAAAGCCTTGAATATTATGAAAAACAGTTAGGGCGCAGGCGAGCTGGTGTAAGTTTACCATTTTTTAGACCACCTGAGACTGGGTGGAAGAAACACGACGACGTCTCAAACACAGCTAACCACTTTATTCAGTTCTCCCTCCTTTTATACAACCTGAATCCTCTGCCGAAGGGAACAATTCCCTTCGGCTGAAGTTTTGATGTGTGTGTAGCTTGTGTTAGTTCGAAGTGGTTTGTCATGTTTTTTTTTTTTTTTTTTTTTTACGATTATCGTGGCTGCGAAGTCAAGACGTGTCCACTTGGAGCCTTTGTTTGGAGTGTTTTTTTAGGTGACGATTTTGGATTCGGGTTGTATAAAAGGAGGGAGAACTGAATAAAGTTGTTAGCTGTGTTTGATACGTCGTCGTGTTTCTTCCACACAGTCTCAGGTGGTCTAAAGATGGTTGAATATTATGTTGCATTACTTGATCAAGGCTTAATTAAGCAAAATTTATTTGGAGGTGAATGTGGTGCACATGCACCGTCAAGCTCATGAAAGAAATGGCTTGTTGGTGTATGTTATCTTACATCATAAAACACAATTTTCTTAATTTAAAGTTAGTTCAATACTCGTAATTGGTTGGCTGGTCGTCAGAGATTGCTGCATCCCACCGAGGCTACTTTAACTTCGAATTGGGCGTTCTTGAGTAGTTGCACATACACTTCTCATGATATCATCCGGCAGTTTTGGTTCTATCACAGTTACTAAGGTCTTTCTTAGTACTTGCAGAACGCTGACTCTACACGAACCTGCCCGTTTAATGTCTTATGTGTCTAATAAAGGAGAATGTCACCAAACTATATGACCTCCCATTTGTAATAAATGCCTTAATTGGTATTTCTAGCTAGCCAACTATCAGCAGTTCATTGATTTCTGTTAGCAATCTGCGTATCAAGTAGACATACGTATCCCGTTCAATCGCCACTTTTTAATAAATTAACTAATCGTTTTATTGTTTTTTTCGCTAATTTCAAGGCATAGCATTTTTAAAGGGAAAGCTTAATTGTTTTCGCTGATTTTTTTTAATGTGATAAGCTGCGAATGGTCCAGATTAAATTAGAGATTAACCTTTATTTGCCTCTAAGAACAGTCCATAGACACAAAATATTGCTCAAGCAATGCACGCCATGCAATTTGTTGATATTTCTCCGCAGGAGTGAGATCTATTGCTTGTTGATAATAGTTTCGCCTTCAGCAAACACTCACCCACATGGCGTTGAGGAGCCAGGATACAGATAACTTGCTGACATTCTTTTGGTTGCAAACCTTGTACATCCAGTTTACTTTCAATCCAAGAGTCGGACAAAGTTCCACTGGCATTTTGCCTTCAAGCTTTGAATAAGCTGTGGTGCACCGTTCTTTGAAAGTATAAGCTCACCAGATTATACCTCGCACTGCTTTTTGCGCTCCCTATCGGAAGTAGAAGCCATAAAAGTAGCCTGCTGCCCATCCCTTCATTTTCTAAGAAAATAAACTTGCAAGAACTGTTTAATACTCCATGGTGCTTAACGCAAAATAGTGACCTGTGTTGATAGCGCGATACCCGTAAGCGTTAGAGTAGGGGTAGGGAACAGGAGGTCCGCAATGAAATCGGAACGCGAGGCAGTATTATGCGATCCCCGGCTTCCCACTTAACAAGACCCTTCCACGTGGCAACCAATTGAACACCAATAAATAATTTGTCTCCAGAACTAATGGCGCAAAGAATATGGCTGCTTGAGAATCGGGCTGATTTGGATGCATTAAATTATGAAACGGCTCAGATGGGTGTTATTTTTATTTCACGTTTATTTGAACGATAATATTGACTAAGAAGAAGAACTCTGCTTCTGTTCTACGCAATATTATCACTCCTGAAAAAAGAAAGACCGAGCAGGATCGAAGAACGTTAGGTTGAACGTTATTTAGTGTTTTCGTTGGAGTTCTTCCTTTACAATTTTACGTCGATTGTACTAGCAATCAACAATTGTCCACCTAGATGATGCTTTTGGTATTAATAACTACTGTCGTCGTTATTAGCGTACATTTGAACGCCATCACTGTTTGCGCCATCGTCCTTTTTAGGGGGTTATATAGAAAAGAGAGGATAACTATAGAGATGTCCAATGCGATATATACGTTCCCTGGATTTGGAGCACATGGGATTTACAGCTTTTATTTTGATTTGTGAAGAGAACGCAGCTTCTCCGTTTTTTTTATTTTTAGGAAGCCCTTGGAGTACATTTTTGTTTGTGGTTGGGTGTGCGACTGCTTCTACTTGCTGATATTTTATGTCACTTTAATAAACGCAACATACACCTCCAACGAAAAAACAACCTTTTAAGAGGATGCTCTCAGACGTAAAAGTTTTCGATCTCTTGCAGCAGCAGCGATTTCCATTAACTAGGAATTTCTATAAGCTTTAAATATATGCTAAATAAACAAGCACCCTATTCCCGAATGGAATTTTTAGTTGATATTAAACAATTTAAATTGGGCGTTTAAATCGGGTGAATGGAATTATATTCTCAACTTCATATGATATCCACATTTCCAAAAATATATTTTAAAAATATATCACCAATCACTACACTTAAATTATGCATTTCCAGTTAACAGCTTCTTCAATTTTTGTGATGACTTACGTAGCTCAATTTTTTTTTTTTGAATCCACGAAAGCTTGCAGCAGCCTCTATTGCGATGTTCGTTAGAGAACATTCATCCAAGAACGTACTTGTATAAATTAAATATTGTGAATGCATGCATGCATTTGCGAAGGACAGATGAACAAATCCAACAAGTTTAAAGACCCGCAGTCAATAGCTTTGATATGAATGTTCGCATCTTGGCAATGACATTAATGATCAAGTTTCTTATTATCAGGAAAGGGAGGGGACGGGGGAGCGCGGGCATGAGCAACCACATTATCTGTGCCCAAATTAAGAAAACTTTGTGCACTACCTTTGGTGCAATTATCTTTACGTTTAAATTCTTTGGAGTCACCGCTTCCCCTCATTCCCAACGCACACATCCTTTCCTTTCCCAATCTTTGGTTTTCTGCCCGGCTGTCTCCATCGTCACTTTTACAAAAAAAATAATAAAAAGCAAGATATCTAAGCACTTCTTATGAGCTGTGAATGCTAAAGCGTCCATGTTCGAATGAACATTGAGGCGCCGCCCTATTCTTTGAGGCCGAGAGGAGCAGGAGCGTCCGCAGCGTCAGCAAGGAGTGCGGCGGTGCACCGCGTAGACTGCCCTGGCTCGCCGGTGACCGCTGCGCCGCTGGGTGGGCAGGCACGGAGTACAGCTGTCAGCGCGGCATGCTCCTCCGCAGCGCAACACGGCTGAAAGAAGAGCGTAGAACATGTGATAGTAGTGCACTGGGAAAGGGAGCGAAAATCCCCCCTCCCCCTCTCTCGGGGCCTTTGGCGAGCGCTCGCGACGCTGTTCCTTTTAGCTGCAAGGGGGCCACACCGTCATGAAGGGCTTCTCTGTGAGTTGGCGGTCTTTGAAGTTATGACACGCGCCACCTAACACGAATTTATCCATCAATTCGCTGATACCGACTAGAGGTTTCGCTCCATCGGAGAGGAAAATTTAGGTGCCGTCTGGTACGGCTTTAAAAGGGGATCACGCCGGTTCGCTCCATGGGAGAGTTGATGTTTCTGCCGGGCCAGCTTTGATTCCTAGTATTTCAAAATCCGCAGAAGTCTAGTAGGGGTTAGGGGGCATTTTAAGATACTGGTCTTGAACGGGAGCACTAAATCAAGCTAAAGGAAACAACTATTTCAATCCGATGTTACGTAAGCATTCTGTATATGGGCGATCGGCGTTGTGGGGGGCACGTGTGTTTGACATGCTGTGGTGTATTTAAAGGCTCTGTTATACTCCGACGATGAGCGCAGCGAATGTACCGTAGACCAGGGCGCAGGCCTTTAATTGGACAGTGAGTAGGAACTCGCCATCTTCGACCAATCAGTATTTGTGTGCGCTGCACTAAGCCGCATTCGCTACGCTCGCCGTCGAAGTATAACAGAGACTTAAGTCTCCCTGCGTGCAACAACTTGCATAATTGTTGTCTTGGGGATGCTTCCAGGTTTGTATCTGCAAGTCTCATAGCAAATTAAGGTTGCAAGAAGGCCAGCTTAAGAATAGTATACATATTTGCACAAAGCAGATATACCTGTGCATGTGGGAGACTCAGAGGACGCCACAAATCCAGTATAGATGCTTAGCTCTCATAGGCTCTCCTAATACTGTAAACAACTTTTTTAACGGTCTCAATATTTTACAAGTTTGCGAAGCACGGGTTTTGAGACTATATCGGGCTCACGATGGCTTTCAATTATTGTGATATATCATGCATGAGTTTAAATATTCGCATGATTAATTAGTATCATTTTAGATATTTTAAGTCGGGCAATTCGGGATAATGTAGAGAACCAATGTAGAGCGAGACAGACGAAAAGCGACAACGTCTGACAAATTCCGAGATCGAACTGCTCTGGCTCTTCGACGCGATCATCTTCTTTTCCGAGTGGCTATCGCCACAAGGTCTATGCGAAATATACGTCGTTTCTAGTGTTTCAGTTGTTTGCCTCTGAATCGTACTAATTTATTACCAACAACTTCATCAAAATCACTTTTGTATGCATATTTTACATGTCCAACATACGTTCCAGTATATATTTGCTGAAGAACATCTGCGTGGTCTCGATGTCAGGATATATTTAAAAGCTAACAAAAACGAAAGCGACGAGAGCCCGGACACACGCGCTCACATTTTTATGAAAGAGATAATATGACAATTTTTGCAAATTTATTGTTTTGTTCTTAATTTTATGTTTAAACTTTTCGTTGAGAGATAAATCTTTGAACTTATAGAAGGTTTCAACTCGAAAAGAAGCGCGATTTCATTCCTTGATAAATTTCCCCAGGAGACATGTCCACTTACTACCGAAAGTAAATTGATATTCCCCTAAAGGCCCGTTTACGCACATGCGTTGGGATACGACTGACTGAGACCGTTTTAAGCCTCTTGTCACAGCTTACGACTGACTTCGTAAGCTGTAAAAAGAAGCCTAAGAAACGTTCTTGTCTCAGTCAGTCGGAGTCAAACTCAGGTGTATGAACGGTCCTTCGTCTGAAGGGCATGACTCATTAATGGCTCTCTTTCATTTCTCAGACGTCCCGAGAGGAGATCCAAATGCTCTGCTGACTCCACCCTTAGGACAAATGGCTCACTCCTGCACGGTCGATTTTTACACATTCCTCTCAGCAAGTAAGTAGGTTTATATGTTGCACTGTGGCAAAAGGTTTCCAATTCATAGTACCAACCAAACATTAAAGACACACATATTCGTAATATATTTAAAACGAATAGTAGTGGTACAAATTGAATTATGGAAGCACGACTGATTCTCCGGCGTGTAGTGCAGTATTTCACGCACGTAACATGTATATGGATATTAGGAGTGAAATTTCTACTAGGCTCCCGACTCCAAAACGGAATATGTGCGTTAGATAATGGAGATAATAAAAACCTTTACCTACTACGCCAGTGGACTCCCTTGCCTTCCACTCACGGCTCTTTGCTTCCTTATGACAACTTTTGCATAATAACGTTGGTTTCTACTAAGTCACCTCTGATCACATCTGACCAATGGGTCATGCAACATAGATAAAATACCGTCGTTGAGTAACGAGGAAATTTCTTAAAAATAAAAAAAGACGTTTCAAGAAAGGATTAGCAGTCGTGTAATAACAATAGAAATGGTAAAGGCATTTCACGAATATTTTCATGCATATAGATCCCTACATAACGTTCACTGTTTTCACTTCCCTCCTGCTATTGCACTCTTCGCAATGAGAGCAATTTTCTTCCTTCTAATATTCTTGCAAATTGCGTTTTACGTCTAAAATCTTGACATTCTCCGAATGCTTCAAACCCCGTTTCCTCACTACATGAATACCAATGAACTCCCTGTTTATAAGTTTAACATCCCGACACTTGAAGCAACATATCATTCAAATTACTGTACCTAAGATATATCATATGGTGCGGTTGTGGACACTTTAGGGAAGTCGTTTAATGATGAAGTACGTGTTTTCAATGCAGCCAGTCTTTCCCTGTGGTTTGGTGCCCAACGGAACAGAACATCGGACGCTCCAGCAATCAGACGCCGATTAGCTCTTCTCAAAGGCTCTAAGAGTAACCAAACCTGGACAAAGATGTCAGTCAGAGTTGGAAACTGGAATCCAGGAGTCAGAGTAAGATATACCTGTAGCTTTTACTTGCTGCTCTTTATGACACACTTTTACGCCACGTTGAAATAATATTGGTGCACTTCTGGAACAGATCGTAGATAATATTATGATTAATAGTTTATTTCAGTTTCGCCTCAGCGTACTTATAATATTTGTCTCGAGTGTGAAAATACACATTCCCTGTTTAATAAATGCTTATCTCACCCCTCCTATATTACGGAAATAAAAAAAGACAACGAGAATAACACATTAAGTCTATATTCAAGATACCGTAGTCTGTCATGCTGTCGCTCACCAACTATTTACACTAGGCGAGTTGTACTGTGCGTCGTTCCACAATAGTTATGGTTTTGCATTCGTGCGCTCCCAAGTGATACACGCACCGTCCGACAACGGAATGTATGTTTCCGCGCGTTGCTGAGCAGCTAATCCGGCGTGAGCGGCTTTGCTGGGGGGTCTATCGCCTGCGGCGTAAAAATATGGGTCCCGCAAAAGGCGGGGGGGGGGGGGGGGGGGGGTTGGAGAGGAGGTAATTAAATACGTTTCGTAACATCACATCAGTAATATTACAAAATCTATTCGAGGCCAAGGAAGTACCCCGAGTTAAAGGTTCCACCACATTTATTTGAGTGTTTAGCCCTGCGTTCTTGAAAAAAAAAAAAAAAAAAGAGGAAGGCAACTATTTGCGTCGAGTTCAATTTAGGCTCTCTTTATTTCCCCCTAACACGTTTGTCTCTCTATAAAAGGAGGTGTTTGCAGGTTATGTTCTTCAACAATTCTTCCCTATACCACGTAAACCTCCAACAAGATAAAAGCTATGAAAAAGTGATGCATTTGCATTTAAAGCATCAGCAGCAGTGTCCTGATGATTTGTTTTTTCTTCCTTGCAGTTCTACTTTATGACTGACCACGAAAATGCCAGCATTGACGGTATCCAGTACCGCGGTTGCCACCCAGACAAGGACAGCGAAACATGTACGTAGCGACATACTTGTTTTCCATTACCTATATACCGCTACTGCGACGCTCCTGAGATCAAGGCCGAACATAAGTGTTTCCTCAAAATCTAGTGTAATAATTCAGGAGTATCTGTACTACATTCATAAGTTGAGAGCAACGTTTGCACTCGAAGGAACTGCTATTTCATTACTGTATTTATGTGGTAATCATTTTTAATAATTTAGACATCAAGTAATCCATTTGCGGTTTTGGCGCTGGAAACGTCTGGTCAATTAAAATATTAAAACCTTGAGCTCGTTCTTTTTATTTGTAAGTTTTCATTGTCTTTCGGAGTTTATATATAGTGGTTTTATTTTTTTTTTCGTTAAAAACACACCTTGCAGTGGAAGCGCACATAACTAATTACTTATTTTCTTATATTATTGAAATGTTAATTAAGGCGTTAGCAATATTACCTACATGACAGCGAAACGCTGACCACGTCCACTTTCGGACAAAGGCGAGAGGAAGGCGGCGTCACGGGTCGGACACCAATGGGCGCGTGGGAAACCGCTGAACAGCGAGAGCAGCCTCAGGCAGCGGATGCTGCTGCTGCTAATCGGAGTCAGCGCCTAGCTGGGCAAGCAGAAATACGGCGCAAGAAGCGGCAAGCCGACGCCAATCTGCATGCGAAAGACGCTGAGGCGAAGAGGGGTCATCCAACACCATCTTGGCTCATCGAGACCGCTTCGACGGGAAACTTTAATGCAAGATCTATTGGAGAATTCTTAGGAAATGCGTTAGCGTGACCCTTGGAAAACATTTCCTAAAGGGTGACCCTTTAGGAAACGCTAACACTAATCACCTAACAGAGTAAACAAAGTCGGCCAAAACTGGGGGAATCAAAATAGAAAGCCGGAAAGAGAAAAGTGAAGGGGTCAGCGGTAGCGTTTACATATGGTGGAGGGCGTGAGTGGCATTTTCCAAGGTCATGTTCACGCATTCCCTAAGGATTCACGAGCAGAATATTTTTATCGAAATACTTTGACCTTACCATTGTAGTTAAAATACATTAAAAAAGGCACCATATATGCAGCTTCTACGAAATCTTGGTGTTTCGCTTGGTCACACCATTTATCTTGAAATTTATGTGATGCGGCAAAATTACTCATGACACACATGTTTACGGATTATGCAAATAGTATCTTGCTAGCATTATTTTAAAAATTACGAAAAGCCTGCGGAGGGCTAACACACCTCAGTGTGGGACCCACAGCCTTCCATGGGTTAACGTACTAATAACTGGTTCCCTCTGCTCCAATAGTGCTCCCCGCTCGGATGTTAGTCAAAGCTCCTATACAATTTCTTGGTCCGACTTTTTTTTACATGCACAAAATGTTTACCAGAGTAATCGCTCATAACGCCTAATACAAACAAGCTGTGAAAAGGCAATAAAATATCCTGTTATTCCTATTGACTCTGCGGCATTCAAGTTCATCGGCTCCTTGCTCACCCACGTGGCTGTTTCCCGGCAAACACACCACATTGTTTTAGGGGCGAAGCTCCTTAGTGTCTAGCCTTGTCCGGCGACCGTGCTCAATCGATGGCACTGCCGCCGGGATCGGCCCACCCAAATGTATATTTAAAAAAAAATGTACGCCCGTACCGGGGTTCGAACTCAGGGCCCCGCTTACCAGGTAGACGTCTTAACCACTACGCTACACTCCAACGTGCCATGTAGTCGCGCAACGTCTATACAGGAGAGGGCGCTGCGGTAAAATGCGTATATAATCGTGTTAAACTTTGCATGCATTGGCTCAACGTTTATAGACAAGAGGGCGCTGAGGTCAAATGCTCAAATGCGTATATAACCAGGATCCATACCACACATTCTCTTTCTGACATTGACCGTTCACATAAGCGGTCGGGATGCGTTCTCACGGCTTCTAGTGGATCCAAGCTGATCCGCTAAAAGAACCGCTGGCTCTGCATTTCACCGAGCATAAAGCAGTAATAATGAAGTCGAAACGCAACCGGGAACTCAAAACTACCTATGAAAAATAAAATCAATATCATCAGCACCACTAGAGCTTCGCCCCAATCAACATCATTCATCACGTGCAGATGCGTCCATTTTTTCTCTCCCCGGCTCAACCGACGACGCGCTCTTGCTTTAGTGAATTAGTCATTTGTATGAGAAATCTTTTGTGTCCAAAAAACACATATGAATACTACAATATATATATATATATATATATATATATACAGGATGTTTTTTTTTATTCTTACACATTTGTTAAAAAAAACCGTGAACGCTACACTAATGCCGTTTCTGCAGGTGGGTCATACGACAGGGCAGACATGATGCGGGTGGCTAATCTTTGCGATAAATCGGCTAATTAATTCGAATTTGTTAATTAACTAGTAGAGCATCATTGAAAAACACTAAATCAACTATTTTTGGAAGGATATAACGCCGGGGAAGCATTTTACGGCGTTCTCTAAAAGCGTTCCATTTGGACGCGTTTCTAAATTTTGGTTTCTTATCAGAGCGCATCACCGCGCCCGCGGTCCTCCTCCCCAGTGGCTGAGACGCGCAACACACGTGCGCCCTACTTCCCTCTATTTTACGAGGGAGGCGAGGAGGTGGCTTCGCGTTGCGACCACCGGGGGGAAGGATCACGGGCGCGTAGATGCGCTCTGATAAGAAACCGAAAACTACAAATGCGTCCAAATAGAGCGTTTTTACAGGACGCCATAAAATGCTGCCCCGGCGTTATATCCTGCTAAAAATAGTTGATTTAGGGGTTTTCGATGATGCTCAGCAATTTTCTAATTGAAACCATGTTGATTTTAAGTAATTAAAACGTTGATTAACGAATTCTAATTAATTAGCCGACTTATCGAAAAGTTAGCCACCCACATAATGTCCGCCTGGCCGTAAACCCATCTGCACAAACCGCATTATTGTAGCTTTCACGTTTTTTCTTAAAACAAATGTGTAAGAATAAAAAAAACACCCTGTATATATATATATATATATATTTATATATATATAACGAAGTGAAAAACTCACGGTGAAAAACAACAAACAGCGGAAGTTTAATCGACAGTTTCGCCGAGAGACTCGGCTTCGTCAGGAGATGAGTTACAAGTGAGGGCATATCGCTGCCGCAAAAAAGTTCAAAACTAGGGGAAAAAAAAAAAAAAAAAGAGAAAAGGGGGGGGGGGGGGGCGGTTTACGCGTTTCCACATGGCAAACAACTTGAACCCGCTGCACCTGCGGGGCGGCGAAATACAAAGTGCTCTTGAGCGCTCAGGACGGTGGCTACAATAGGCCCTGAACGGGCGACGTCTTCTTGGCTGATGGCCCCCAACGAGCCAATGCATCCCCGCGACGGTCACCCCTGGGGCGCCACCATATATATATATACGTACATATAATATGATTAAGAACCCTAAAATAAATTTATAAGAAACTTGTCATAAGTTTCTTAAATAGTGATTTCATGTTCTTATATATATTATATAGTGTGTATATAGTTCTTATATCGTTGTGCATGGTTTTTATATATCTTGTATCGTATGATTCATATGTGTTTACTTGACGCGCACATTTCTCATACAAATTATATTTTTCAATAGGGTCGCTGCCGCGTCACCGCGCGTGCGATCGCTGCATCTTCTTGTTGTCATTTAATTGCTCATTCCGATTTGATGGGCCAAACGCTTCTCGGAACACTTGCATGCCGTGTTACTACCACTCAGTGTTGTGCCCGTTACCGAAAAAAAGTAACGAAATAGCGTTACTCGTTAGTTTGGTAAAAATTAACGCGTTATTGAGCTACGTTACTTTTTTACAAACGTAACAATATACCGTTACCGTTACTTCTCAAGAATAACGAACGTTACTCTTACGTTACTTTTACGTTACTTTTGTGTTCCAGTACATATGTTTGGCGGCATGCGAACGGGGACTTCTGGAACACAACCAGCCAACCAACGGGCGGCGGAGAAAAGCTCACCGGAGAAAAGTTTACCGGAGATAAGCTCACCGGAGAAAAGCTCACCGCAAAACCGGCAGATGCGGAGAAAAGCTCACCGATTTTTTGAACTTAGCGGATTCTGCGTCAAACGTGGCAATTTAACACAATTCGCATTCGTCACTTCACCAAAAATATGTCCTCTTTTTTGTAATATTCTTGAAGTTCATTGGGGATATTTACTAATTCCTCGGAAATAAGTAAGCACCCATTCTGTATAATAATGAAGTCGCAAGTATAAAATCAAAACATCGTACTCCGGTAAAAAAAAAAAAAAATATTGACAGCTGACAGTGCGCCGTCGGTAGCTCTATCACATAAAGAGGTTTGTTCTTTGCGAGCTAATATGAATAGCGGTGTGTCAACCGTTTCAGCTCCAAATATTGTGTAGTGCCTAATAGATAACTAGGTGTTTGTTAATGTAATCAATGCCGCCTACGCTGTTTTCTTTCTGTTAATTTCACTAACAAAACTTTAGTTCCGAGAACAGCTTCGTCCTGTCGTGTTTGTGGTCTTCACTCCGTCTTCGTCGTTTGGGCGGTTTTTATCATTTCAGGCATCGCGTTGTTGCGCAAGCACTTTCTGATTTTCGGTATTTACAGTTTAGATTTTTAGGTTTTCAAGTTCATAAAGTTTTCAGTTAGGCTTTTGTTGCTTAGAGAGTAAGCCACAGAAAACACTCACCCGCAATTATTGATTTGGAAGCAATATACCTAATAAGCTTAAAAATATTACAAAAAAGGACATTTTCTTTTATACAAAGCTGATGAATTTTGATGATAATAAATTGACATATGTTACGCTTGACCCAACAACCTCCATAAAAAAAGAAGAAAAAAAATCGGTAAGGTTTTCTTCGCATACGCTCAATGGACGGTGAGCTTTTCTCCGCATCCGCCGGTTTTGCGGTGAGCTTTTCTCCGGTGAGCTTATCTCCGGTGAGCTTTTCTCCGGTGAGCTTTTCTCCGGTGAGCTTTTCTCCGGGATTCCAACCAACACCCCTCACCTTTACGCCGTTTTTTAGTAACAGTCCGGTTCATACTATTACCAGAGTCTGATTTACTTCACTACCTAAAACAGGACACCGGTTACCAGCACACGTTTTACAGGTTTAAAACTTTTTTAATATTTTAATTCTGACCTCAGGAAAGTAAAGACTAATCAAGTGAAAAATTATTCTGTGTACAAAAGTGGGTCAGGAACGTTTAGGCAGCGAGGGGGAGCGAGAGTAAAAAATTCCTCAAAGGGTGTTTCTATTTTTTTTTTGTAACTAGAGAAACGAGCAAATCGCTTCGCCACTAGGTGTCCACTGTTTAAAACGGATGTCTCTCTTCTCCTATTCCCCCTCCCACCTCCCTCCTCCCCCCTCCCCCCGCTGTCCGCCTCTGCTGCACAAAGCAGAGGGGGAAGAGGGAGGGGTGGGGGCTGTAACGCAGTCGTTCGTTCAAACACTGTAAGTGGTGACACTATGAAAAAAAGAAAAGGAGGACGAACTGAATTAGCTGGTAGCCGTAAGTTTTTTTCCGCCTTGGAAAAGCAAGATAGTGTCGCTTTTTAACGGATGTTTTTCTTGGTCAGAAAAGTTTTTTTTTTTTTTTTAAGTTTACTGGGACGGATGCTGGTTCCGTTCAGCGATAAGCTTGTGCAAGATATTGAGATGGATGGGTGAATAGATGGACTGATAAGTGGAAACCACCGTTTTAGGAAATCGAAGTTTCAGAAGTCTCAGCAGCAAGATACCGCATTGCCTGGGCATTGCGTGCTCGAGCGCAAGAAGTTGCCCCTGGAGCAGAGAACGTAGATCCTCCATTGAGCTTAGTGACCTAAATTTAGTTCCCTGCCGTCTCCAGTTTTATGCACAAGATCGGCTATTCTAAACGTTAGATCAGGCGTCGTGACTTTTTCCCAAATAGCTAATGTATTTCACCAGTTTTGGTCAAAAGGAACGAGTAACAAAATTTGACAGCCGATACCGTAAAAAAGTAACGGAAATACTTTACTCGTTAGTCATTCAGAATACTAACGAGTACGTTACTGCGTTAGCGAAAAATATAGCGCGTTACCAGTAACGTCGTTACTAGTAACGCGTTACTTTCAAAACGGCTACCACTCCTTCAATTGGTTGTGCCGCACATTATGCAGCACACTTCGCTACTTTACGCCGGGACCCTGTGTGTGAGTTCGTTGAACGTTGGTCGAACCTCTCTTTATGTACAACTGTCAAGTGCTTTTTGTGCTTTTTTTTATTTGGGTCAACAGGGGCTCTTCTTTGGCCTCCTCGTGAAGTCACGCACTCGTCGCGCTTTGAATTATCCCAGTGATTAGCTTTTCTTTTTTTTTTTTCTGAAATTCTTCATTTTCTAAAACTTGGGATAATATTTACTAGCGCAAAATGCCCTCTTTTTTGTAGTTTTTACCCTAATCAATATCGGAATTTGCACACACAGAAAAAAAGTCAGCCCTTTCAGAAGGAGGGGCGAAAAAAAAATATGCGTATAGTTTTCATAGTTTCTGAAGAATTAATTTATGAAACAACAAAACTCTAGATTGTCCGCGGAAGTTCATACTTTGAATTACGCGTTGATTTCGATTCTTCCTTTATTTGTTCTTGCTTCTTTCCAGACGAAGCTGGCCTGCTTGTTACCTGCAGCTTCATTGCCTCTGATATGTGTGGCTGGTTCCCCGAGAACCTCGAGGACGAGTTGGACTGGGTCAAGTTCGGTTTCGGACAGGTTACTCGCCTCTGGCAGCCTCCTTTCGCAGACGTGGGCCACACAGGTGTGTACAGTGAGCCGATAATCTCTCGAATCGAACCTCGCCTTAAAGCATAATGCTTTTATCGAATCAGGCCCTAAACCAGAATGCTTTTATCAGCAGGTTGTCAAATGTAGAGTGTTACGAAAAGTTGATACTAAAGTATAACGCCGGCTTGCAACGATCAAGCGGTTGGTGCCAATATAGGGTCATGATTGTTGCATATTTGGTTTGGTATCGCACGTGATGTCAGAACAATTAAGCGACGTCACTGTTACCTTGCGGTGTCTTGCGATAACTTTTTGCATGATACCACAGTTTCACATGATACCCTGAGTAAATAAAACGACCTTACGTCGCTTGAGGTAGTCAAAGAATTTTTGCCACGTGACAGAAAGGCGCAATCAAAACACTTTGGAAAACGGTGTATAACAGCACATGATTTTGCATCCTGCCTCATACCTATACGCAGCAAGAAGGTGTTTAGACTTACTGAAGAAATCTTTAACGAATTACAATGCAGGTTGATGAATGTCGAAATTTATTACTAGGTAACGGTGTCAGTATGAAAGTGTTTTTAAAGCAGAAGTAGAGACATATTAGGGATGTTTTTTTTAAGAAAGGCCTGTCGGCTATCAGCATATCAAATTAAGTACGGCAAATAAGTTAATATGTTTGCTTGCAGTCATTCTGATACTGATACACATTCGCACTATGCCAACATGACCATCGAATCTAGAGACAAACTACGGTATCAATAAACGCTAATTTGTGACGCATCTGCTCTTATTCTGCCATTCTAATTTCTAGACTATCCTAATTTGTTCAGATGTCCAAAGTTTATCACCTCCGTCTTGAAACCAAGGTGATCAAAATGGCTCGTTACGCAAAAATTAGCAAACGTTTTATGACTGAATAGGCAAAACTAAGTGTTTATGAAATCATACATAATTAAATAGAATAAAATTGCCATCATCTGTAAAAAGGATTATATATGAACCGTGTTTGGGCAGGAACTGCCATGTTCGCCTAAATGTTTTGGAAAATTTCTTGGCCGAGCTCATCGTGCAACTTGATCAATATGTAGTGCTTCACCCACGACTACGCATTTTAGAGTGCTAAAGCTTAAGTCTTCTACCAAACATTTCGCGCAACATGCTAGAAAACACCGACGGCAGCGCATGGTATCGAAGCGACACTCTCTTCATAATTTTACTCCAAGAAACAAAGAAAAAATAAAGGCAGCAACGGGAACCTAGCGCATGAGGCTACCTTCCAACTTATTCTCTTTTTTTTTTTTGGCATATTCCCTTTAAGACAGATCCAAACCAACGATCCCATTTACGCATCTGAAGAGACCTTTACGTGCTCCCGTACATGATTATTTCCGGGGAGCGCACTTACTTCGGATTTTCACAACGTTGCACGAGATTTGTTAAAATTGTAAAAAGGTTACAGAAGAAATTATTTAGTGAACACGTAAACGTTTCAAAATCAAAATAATATTTGATCAAGTATTGTATCTCAGCTAAAGGAGGGCAGTACGGCCGATGCAACAAGTCTAAGTATGGGTTCATTGTACATCAGGATTCAGGTGATCATAACAATGCTCACCTTATGATTTTCTGCGGTTTTTAAAACTCCACAATTCCTTGACGAAGGAGAAATCGGCTTTCGAGAAAAGTTAAACAAAACACCACGATGGGTAGTATGGTTTCCATCGTCTAACAACCAAAGGACTACAGGACGCGCTTTATTAAAGAGAACTTACGACCGATAACACATAATTGGTTTTAGCACCGAAGATAATGAGGTGTTGAAATTAACTGCTGGGCAAGTTGGACAAACATTGCGAAAAAATTAGTCTTAAGGAAAACGACAGGACGAAGATACGAGCAGGGCAAAAGCTTTTCGGCCTGTTCGTATCTTCCTCCTATCCTCGTCAATTGCGGTTTATGTCCTCACGAAGAAGAATGATGTGGGCTGCGGTGAAGCTTGGCCTTACACCGGATCAAAGTGAGAAAAAACTTAAGGGGCGTGCTTGGGCGATATCACCTAGATTAATCAAGGGCTGTACACTAGAATAACTACGTACTGTATATATGTGTGTAATGGCCGCGATCGTGTAATAGCTGCATCCCTAACTTTAAACAAAAATGAGCCGAAAAATATATTTAAAAATTACCCATGTATAGGCCGCACCTACTATTTTAAAACCGTAAATGCGGCAATCACTTTTTTATTCTTTCTATTACTGTCGGCAGGTGGCGCTAACCCGGCTGCGGCAGCCAACATTGAGGCACTCTATCCCACTGATATCCATGTCTATTTGCTGGATCGCGTTTGACCAGCTACGTCTATGGACTGGAATGCGGCCACGGTCGGCCATCTTTTTGGTAGAGTTATATTATCTCTAGCCATCATAGGTAATATGGCGGACAGCGCTATGGCGGCAGGCTGCCATAAAATAGCCGTGGATCTAGTACACTGTACTGTGGGTGATATTTCGTGCTTGATTGAAGTTGTTCAACGAAGCAGGTTCTTGAAACCCGGCGTGAATGATAGTCTCATCTTTGAGGACCCCGCGTAAGTTCTACGAAAGCGAAGCACCGGGGGAAAGCAGTGCAGCTCGCATCGAAAGCAGACTCCGTACCGGCGTCTACTTTCGATGCTTCTTACGATGCGACTTTCGATGCGTGCTGTGATGCTTTTCCGCGGTGCTGCGATTTCGTGAAACTTTCAACGGGGCCTCAAAGATCGGGCTACCGTTTACGCCGCGTTTCAACAATGCTTCGTCAAACAATTCCAATCAAGCACGAAATATCACCCACGCTATTTTGATGGCAGCCTGCTACCACAACTGCCACAACGCTGTCTGTCATGGATGGATGATAGTGGCTGCAGCAGCTGCATATTGGATAGAGGTGATATAACTCTACCCCAAAAAATGGCCGCCAGTGGCCGCATTCGCGGAGCGGGCAAACGCGATCCAGCATTTATCATAGAGATCAGTGCTCTATCCGGTCTGTTTGCGCCTCTCGCTTTATTTTGAACAATTTCGAACCAGAAGCAGTGCATCTCTTTTGTGTTTGCGAGAACACCCGGTTTCCCGCTGTCACCCACTTCAGGCTTATGGATGGGGAAGTTCACGAGTTACACGGCCGGCTTTAAACTCAAATTATTGCCTTTAGTTAAGGCAACAGCAAAAGAGCAGCTGGGCAAGAGTTCGGCGTCGACGACGCCGAGACGCCGGACGCCGAGACAAGTTCCGAAGATGAGTGATCTACGACGGACGAGTGGAAATGGCTTTGAACACCTGTCTATGCAATACCCATAAACGTTTTCTTGTTCTACCAAGGCGTGTGAGCACTTCCATGCAATGAAGAGCAAGTAGTGAAACTTTCGGCGAAAAGAAATGATTTCCAAAAGAACATTTTCATATTTTTCCGTGTAATGGCCGCACCACTACTTCTCGACCGAAATCATAAACAAATACCTGCGGCCATTACACGCGTATGTATGGTAATTTCAATGACATTAAGCGGAGGCACAAGTTGGACGTCAGTATTGCATCAGAGTTCTGCTTGTCCTCGTGTAAAACAAAAGCGGCAATTGATGCTTGACATGGGCTTGGGTCCAAATACTGAGCTGGCGCAGTCCGTCTGTGAAGATATTTAATGGAGTAAAAGGACGTCTTTTACAAACATTGATAATTCCAGGTGGTCGAGGTGTAGGTCAAATAGGAAGCCGCGTATAAACCGGCAGTAGCAAGGCTTAATCTCATGACGCCTGGGTTTGCCACCTGCGTATTTAGTTTGATCTTACCATGTACATCTTTCTACATTCCAGGTTTTTATATGTTCGCCACCAACCCGTTGAACAAGGAAGCCAGGGCACACCTCGTTTCTAAGCGCGTGGATGCCACAGACAACCAGGGCCGCTGCTTCTCCTTCTGGTACAGTATGCGGCACCCCAACAGCGGCACGCTGAATCTGCTGCTCCGAATGGAAAACAACTCGAGCAACCTGCTCTGGACGCGATCCGGGCCCCAGGGAAGGTCCTGGGCCAGGGGCCACGTGGAGTTCTACGCCGACAGGGCTCATAAGGTGAGACATAGCTTTTGGCTTTCGTTTAGTTGGTCTCCGGTGCCAGTTAATTGACTATTAGTGGCGTAACTGATTAAAATAAAGTACACATTTACCTTTCATGCATCATGTTATTAGATAAGCGGGGAGTTCTTCATTTAGGTTCCGCATTACGTGATCCTTTCTAAAGTGCGCACCCTCCTCTAGGTCCTCAGAGGCCGCCATATTTTGATCGTCATGCTGAGCACGCATCGGACACAAGTACTGCGTCAGCGTGTGGATTGTACTATATTACAAATGTGTTTGACACGAGTGCTGCTCTAGCGCTAGGCGTGAACTCTGATCTAATCACACGCCTTGCCCAGGAAGCAATGCCCAAAATATGGCACCCGCCAGTATTGCTTTATGGACATTTGAAAATAATGTACTTTATTCCATGAATGATAGTTTGCTTGTTAGGAGAAAAAGACTATCAGCATAATGTTTAGTTTTTGTAAAGTAGTCTCATACTGTAGGCAACAATGATGCGATAAGAGTGGTCAGCGCGCCATGTTAGAAACCGCGTGTTCAGTCAAGGTGCTGCCGAGGCTCTACGTACCTCAGTTCAAAGCAAGCCGTTCTACTGCATATTTTGCGAGATTTAGCTTACTAAACTTTTGTATTGGTCTTCATAACCCTCAGGGCTAGTTGGGTTCTTGCAGAAATATTTGATCACCAATTCAATACTTGGTACTTAAATAAAGTAAGGAATTAGTTTACTAAGGTTGTAAATACTATAGATCTTCAGCCCCGGGAGAGCCTCACTTACTGCTATTCCTGGCATGGCGTCCAACATGCTGATTCTACTAAATTACCGAGGCATGCATTCCTAAGACACCACAAATCAACAACACTGATGTAACGTAGGGGCAGTAAGTCAGCTCAAGGCGCACTGCCTCGAGGCCCGTCCTGTCACACTTTCAAAGGCGGCGTTCAGGTGAACACCGCTGAAAAGTCTTTTCTCAAAAAGGTTGGCGAATTCCTCGTCCTACTGGAATGCAATCCTAAGGGTGCTTTTGTTATTCGGTCAGGCATCATATTCTGTTTAATGTATTGTACTCTGTCAGTGTTATGTCTCTTGTCTAGGCGCTATGCGAACCGTACAGACGCTGTCGCAGGCAAGCCGTATGACTGCGAGCGCTGAATGACATCTGTAATTTGCCGACATGTGACAGAAAGAAAACAAAACTCCGAGTTCAATTTGCATGAGATTTGTTTTGAATTGCTTTTAGGCTCGCCCAGGACAAAGCACCTTAATTGTGTGAAAAATACTTTTCTAGTAATGCGATACTTATTAAGGTTACAATCTTATAATATGGCTTGTATTCCTAGACTATCATTATAATTTTTCTTGTAATTGTACGCATGAATATTATATTCGAATATTTAATATTATAATATTACTATTGTGAATCACGTTGACAAGATTTGTTATATTATAGCAGCCCTTGAAATATAAAAAAAGGTGATGTGGTCGCTGGGCCTGGGCGTTATTGCAGACAACCCTGAATCAACCAAGTTTAAGGAGTTGGATATTCTTCTTCATACTAGTGCATTGGAAAGTGGCAATTTGTCTCATAATTTAAACATAACTATTGTCTTTCAGTTTGTACTCGAGGCAATACTGCTGGCATCGACGCCGGCGGTCATTGCGGTGGATGAGATCCGCGTGACGAGAGGAGAGTGCGAGGATAAAGGTGCGTTCTTGTCGCAGCATTCGGATGTCTCTAGTCCAGTTTTTAATTTCAGGCAAAGCAGTGGTCAGAGTAATCAAGCAAGCGAGCTGGTTTAGGACACACGTATTTGAAGCCAGGACGACGGATGAAGAAAGAGGGCAATGAACATCTGAAAACCTATCTTAATCTAGTCAAACCACGCCTAACCTACACTGAACTAAAATAACTTAACTGAATCGATTCTTGCACAAACTAACTCCGCTTACGTATTTTATTCTTGTCCATAATTACCTATTCTAAACAAACCTTGTGTAACCCGACATACACTGAAGTAACCTGGAATAAGCTAACCCAGCAAAACCTCAAGTCCACTACCCATAACTACCCCAATCTAACCTACATCAAACTAATGTAATCTAATCTAGAATAACCTAATATAATCCAGCCTAAACCTACATATCGTAATATAGCTCGGCTAGTCTAACCCCACCTCATCCCCCCAAATTAAACATAACGCTTACTAAACTACCATAGTCTAACCTAAACTAAACTAAGGTGAACTTGCCTAAATTAACATAGCCCAACCGAAGTATTCTCTAATAGAATTGGTGTTCAGTAAAGGTACACTCGCCGGCCGTATGAAGGTGAACGCCGGACCGTCGACCCCTCCTAGAGTGCCTCAATATTGTTGGCCGCAGCGCCTTGCTAGAGTGGGGACAACTATGTCGTCTGCTAGAAGAGCGGCCATTTTTCCTTTCGTTTGACGCGCCTGGTATATGAAAAAGAGCGCGTCGCATTTCCCTTTGAGCTCCTTGTGCTCTTATTGGGTATGATCACTTGTAAAATAAAGGAGGACTGTTTTAAGGAACGCGTCACCTCACCCTTCGAGTCAGGTGTGCACCTGTTTTATGATATAAAATGACGATTTTGTGCCCACATGCCGCGAGTCCGTTGGCAAAAGTGCCATCGGCAGCCGCTTGTGTGGTGATCCGCTTCTTGATGATGGCCGATTTATGTAAGTTTGTGGACAGTTTTTATGTGCGGTACCGTTTTGTGCAACAGATTTTGGTATTTGACGTCGGATTTAATGACTGAAATGAAAGGCAGCCACCAGCGAGGCGGAGACCGCGATTACGCTGAGCTCTATATATCTTCCTTTTAATTCGCCGGTATTGTTGCCTAACAAAATTTAAATGATAGATGGGCTGTGATTTCTATTTGGCTGGCCTGGGGCGAACTGTTCGAGAAATTTACGCTTTTAGAGGTTATACGGATGTTCATAATGACCATCGTAACACTTGCACTACGGGCTTTTAAACTAACAACAAGAAAAATATTTTTTTTCTTCTTTCAATTCGCTTTTATATCGCAAAAGTTAAGAATTTTATTAGGCCATCTATCCCAGTGTCAGCTTTTGCCATCCGTCGGCTCCGTTCTGCTCGTTGGCACTGGGCTCAAAGTGGGCCTGAAAATAGAACAGAGGGCATCATTAAACAGAGTAGGGTCCAAAGTAAACTTGCTCTCAATTTATTTTTCTTAAAATTGGCAATTTATTAAAACTTGAGTCTATTTAACTTGCTAATGCACACTAAGGGCAAATGTTCAATATCTAACTTAAAGACGTTCATTATATTAATAGGTTCTCTGCAAAAGAACTGTGCATAGACCAAAATAACGAAATGTGCGACACAACGTTAGTGTCATACTCCCCCAGGCTGGGTCAACACCTTTACCAGAGGTCCTGATGCAAAGTGTACACAAGCTTTGTGATGCAATCACCCCAGAACCCCTAAAAAAATTAACCATTCCCCCCCCCCCCCCCGCCCTCCCCCCCCGTTCCCGATCGCCCGGTATTTACACTCAATCTAGTAGCGTCGACCGAAGGGCCTACAACCCCGAGACTGTGGATAAGCAAGGCCAACACGAAATATTCTCACTCAGTAACATTGTCCTGAAGGCGACCAGCACACACGAATCATAGCCTCCGAGATTGGCGCGCTTGCGCAAACACACGAAGATTCGTTGCTGGGCGATTGTACTGGGTGAAACAAGGAGACGCTAGGCTCTTTATATCGACCGGAAAATTCGGTTTCTTAACCTATCGCGCTACGACTTTGTGCAGCGCTGCCCACAGATGGTGCATTTTTTTTTTTTGTAAAATTTGCAAAGGGCGAACTTACCTGAGGAAAAAGTAAAGAAAGAAAAAGGCTTAGCTCCTATGGAAACTCAGCGACGCCACCGATCTTCAAACAACACGGCGCCGTTTCGCACGGGACACAAGAGATGGCGCAACGAACGCCGCCAACGAACGAGCATACGGCGCCGAGAACCAGTGTCTTTAGCAGACAATCTTTTCAACTCAAAAGCGACGTGCGTTCCGCAGGCGGCGACAGTCGCAGAAACAAAAACAGGCGCGGTAACAACGAGGAACTGCAGTTCCTTGTCTGCTAAATACGCCGGCTCTCGGCGCCGTATGCTCGTTCGTTGGCGGCGTTCGTTGCGCCATCTCTTGTGTCCCGTGCGAAACGGCGCCGCGTTGTTTGAAAACCGGTGGCGTCGCTGAGTTTCCATAGGAGCTAAGCCTTTTTCTTTCTTTACTTTTTTCTCAGGTAAGTTCGATCTGTGCAAATTGTACAAAAAAAAAAGCACCATCTGTGGGCAACGCTGCACAAAGTCGTAGCGCGATAGGTTAAGAAACCAAATTTTCCGGTCGATTTAAAGAGCCTACCGTCTCCTTGTTTCACCCTGTATTTTACTGGCATACGGGAGAATGGAAAGAAGTTGGATCGCTTGTCGCTATACCAACGACTGCGAGCAATAGCAGTATAGAGTCGTGGAAGTATCTGTATAGCATAATCGTTCAGTACCTCAGCCAGTACTTCGAAACAATATTTCCTACGGTGAACGAAACAGGGATCGGAAGGAAACAGAGCTGCTACTCACAGTGCACACAGACGAGGAGCGGGTCGGCCACCCAGTTGTCCCTTTTTATCTGCGTCAACCACAGTTGCTTCCGTTGGGCGTACGTTGGAATGTTGAATAGCTTCCACCCGTTTTGGGAGGGGAGGCACTCGCTTGATCGAATGACGTTTTGGTGAAGGCCCACGTTTCACCGAATGACACCTTAGCGAATAGTCGGACGCCGCGAAGCGGCGTTTTCGGGTGGTCCAAACGGGTTAACATTTTTGAAATGAGCCGCCGAAGACTGTCGCCGCGAGCGGCGTAAAGCGCAGCGCGGCGGATGGGTTAACGCGCGCCCCCGTTATTCGCTTAAACGTCGATTCGCTGAAATGTCGCTGTTCGCTGAAATGTTATTCGCTTATCTGATATGGACCCTTTCGGGAGTTATTTGAGCACTTCGGCACGCAGCAACCCGGCATTATTCTCGAGGCACCATAATTGTTGTGAGCACTAGGCCACGAGGCGACCTCTCGGTATCACGCGTGCAGCGTCAACACAGCGTGAGAGGAAAAATGGCGGCCGCCACCGGGAGCGGTCGGGGGAAACCGGGGAATCCCCGAAAAGGCGGCACTTGCCCTCCCTAAAGATGTCGCCACTCTAGCAAGGCGCAGAGGCCAACAACATTGAGGCGCTCTAATCGCTCCTGGAGTTCCTGTATAGCTACCTACGGTAGCAGAGTTGCGTATTCAGCCTCGGCGCGTGGCCGTAGCGCCGGCTTTCCCGCACGTCCTAATTGCTTTGCTCCTCACGTGACTAAATTTGGCGAATAGCGGCGCCGCGCGCGCCGCCGCGCATGGAAAACGGGAGGGGAGGAAAAGGAGGCGGAAAGCAGGGGAACATACGCCGGGGCGCGAGCGACGTTGGCGGAGCGACCGTAAATGTGGCTTTCTTCCACGGCGCAGGATGCTTTGCTCCTCACGTGATGGATCTCGGCGAATAGCGGCTTGGCGGCGCGGGGAAAACAAATGCGCAACTCTGCTCCCCCTTCGGGGGAGCATATCGAGGAACTCTAACCTCTCCCTTCTATCAGCGCCATGACGCGGCTGCCGTGGCAGCCACGTAATGGCGCTGATCGCAGGGAGCGGTGGACGGTCCGGCGTTCACCTTCCTATCGCGATAAGAAAGCGAAGCGTCACGGCAGCCGTGTCATCGCGCTTATAGCACGGAGCGGTCGACCGGTCCGGCGTTCACATTCATATTGCCGGCGGGTGTACACAAAGAATGTTCAGTGCTCAATTCACGGTGAATATTAAAAACACGGTATTCTAAACTTTAAGGAAGAAATTTACATGCGAAATAATATTTTTCAAAAATAAAATTTTCTGAAAGTTCACATTTGATTTCTGATTTCCTGCAAAATTTTCAAGTTTATAGATATGTGCAGTGTCATTTGAACACGTTAAGTTCTATCAAAATTGCGCTAAACCAAAGCTTTTCTGAAAGGAACATGATTGCCAGTTCTGCCTGAAAGTACAACAGAAAAGTTGCAATTAATTTAAAAGGGCGCATTATACCTTCAAATTCATGTAGCGGAGAATGCATTCGTAATATGACCGGGAATGCATTGTGGGCTACAAGAGGCTTTACGTCACTCTCATATGTGATATAAAAATAGTAAAATAATTTTGACTAAAAATTTAAAACAAACGCCTTCCAGATCAAAAAGAATGAGTTAATTGACTGGTTAAAGGAAGAAGCAACAGAAGAAACGGTCACATTGAAACAGGTGCATGGAGTATTTTTTTATTGCCGGAATATAGAAAATACGTATAAACTTAAACTGTTATACTCTATTCTGAAAAAAAAAATGCAGAAGATTAATAACAGGGTGAACTTCCTACAACAACGTTTCTCAGCGCGTTAATTTGGCATATGTCAGGTGTACGAGAATAATTGTTTTTCTCGTCATGGTTTTGTAAACTCTACCACGTTGGGTCGTTGTTCATTGAAGTTTTATTAATAACAATTCTCTTTTTTTTTTTTTTAAATTAGCACTCAGCTGCGATTTTGAGTACTCCGGGTGTGGCTGGAAATTAAATGGCTGGGAGATGAACAGCGGACGAAAAATCGGAACACCAGATGTTGACCACACCACAGAGACCGGTTACGGTGAGTGCAATCATCAATGAAAGAAGGAAATTACACAGGGCAAGCTAGGGAAATATTTCATAATGATGATCCCAAGATTGGGGAAAAGTACCGAAACGCACGACATGTTGAGTGTCTGGAACATCTCACGTTAAGGTGTTGAGGCGCTGTGTGTGTTCGTTTGTGTTGTATAAATTTCTGCCACTCACGGGCTTATCTTTTTGTCGTTAAACGACCTTCAGGTCGGTGCAACTGCGCGTATGAGCCTCAATACGAAATATCTGTTATGTCTAAATATGTGCGCCTCAAGTGCCCCAGACACCACATGTTTGCAATATAAACCAGCACAACTTAGAACAGCTAAAAATGGGGCTGCAAAAACTGAACATAGTTTTGGAAATATCGAAGTCATCAATGGACATACATGAAGTGATGCGACGAAACCAAAAACATTTAAAAAAGCATTATGCAAAACATAATCCTAGAAAAGATCTTATTTAGGTAGCTGCGCTTTTAAAATATTTATCGCTTATGAATCATACTATTCAGTTAGTGTTCAAACCAGCTGATTTAACATGTCTCCTATCATCGAATCTTGTTCAAATTATCAAATTGTTTAGCAATTTGGGATACTAAAAGGCAGACATGCCATTCAATACAAAAATAAACGTGGAATGATTGAATTCTTGACACGTCACTTCGTTACATAGCTGGAAAAGCACTGCGTTATTTGGAGTCTGTCATCTGAAGTGACTTCCAAGAATGCTTTCGTTATTTCTACTTTGTGTAATTGCTTAACTGTGGTTCGCCCTTCAAAACAAGTTCAATAGCTCTTACTTTCAAACAGTCGTACGTCGCCGTTTGTTCACATAGCTTTGAGTGAATTATATCACAAACATTTAAGCTTTCAGAGTGTATGCTGACCTGAAATGAAGTAGACGAAGTGTGCTGCAAATATTTATGAGAAGGGCCGCAGGCTCCTTTTAATGTATTTTTTAGAAACTGCCTGGGTAAGGGGTGACGGCTTCAAAGCTTTCGTCAAAATAGTCACGAGGTAAGAACCTCTACCCAAATGGCCCAACAACAGACACCATGGAAATGAAAAAAAAAAAAAAAAAAATTGTACGAAACCGTGGTCAGTTTCAGTTGAACCCCGAGCGGGTCGAAGCCTGAAAGACGCTAGCTCAAACCGTAAAACTAGAATAAACTATCTCCGTTCGATTTGATGAGCAGGGGCAAGAGCACGCAGAAAAAGCCGCCGAAAGCCGCCAGCGTGCGCATCCTAGTACACTTCGTTATTGGTCTCACTGCTTCCTCGTAGCGTTGTTTGGGCTCGGACTTAGGTGAAACGAACAAGAATGCGCGGTTAATAGAGTCTTAGTACAGGGTGAAACAAGGAGACGTCAGGTTCTTTAAATAGACAGGAAAATTCGGTTTCCTAACCTATCGCGCTACGACTTTGTGCAGCGCTGCCCACAGATGGTGCTTTTTTTTTTTTTTTGTCAAATTTGCGAAGAGCGAACTTACCTGAGAAAAAAGTAAAGAAGGAAAAAGGCTTAGCTCCTATGGAAACGCAGCGACGTTACCGGTCTTCAAACAACACGGCACCGCTTCGCACGGGACGCAAGAGATGGCGCAACGAACGCCGCCAACGAACGAGCATACGGCGCCGAGAGCCAGCGTTTTTAGCAGACAATCTTTTCGACTCAAAAAAGGCGCGCGTTCCGCAAACGGCGACAGTCGCAGAAACAAAAACAGGCGCGGTAACAACAAGCAACTGCAGTTCCTTGTCTGCTAAAGACGCCGGCTCTCGGCGTCGTCTGCTCGTTCGTTGGCGGCAGTTGGCGTCGCGACCGCTTGCGCCATCTCTTGTCTTCCGAGGGAAACGGCGCCGTGTTGTTCGAAGACCGGTGGCTTCGCTGCTTTTCCATAGGAGCTAAGCCTTTTTCCTTCTTTACTTTTTACTCAGGTAAGTTCGGTCTTTGCAAATAATAAAAAAAAACACCATTTGGGGGCAATGGTGCACAAAGTCGTAGCGCGATAGATTAAGAAACCGAATTTTCCGGTCGATTTAAAGACACTGGCGTCGCCTTGTTTCACCCTGTAGATCGGCCCAATACACCCCCTCCCCTCCACCTAGAGGTAACCGCTAAAGTTACGTTTCTTGTTTGAAGTCGTCAGCGGAGGATCGAGTGTCGTTATCGTAGTAATGAGCGAAAATCTACTAAGCTGACTAACGATGCCGATGAAATAGCGCAGTCCCATTCCAGGTTTTAAATATGCGAAGCAAACGGGTAGTCGTGTCTTTTCGTGGCTTTCTGTAGGTTACGAACTATGCGGTGGTATGCGACCCGAACCGCAACTGCCACACTTCTGAAAACAATGTACTTAAGCAAAAACGTACGGCCTTAAAGCGTAATGTCAACGTGCAGGCCTGCACTGGGTTAGTTTACCCGATGGTAACGAGCCGACAGACCGGCACCTCCTGACGTTGCTCTTTTGGTGCTTTTGTCCCATCAACTCGTAGCGGTGATTGCGCTGTTTCGCTTTTGTCTGCCACTGCGCAGGGATTCCGCTGTTCCTACACCCTGATTCACCTTACGACCCGATACCGTGAATCAAGCAGCGTCGAAAATGCATCATAGCGGCGCTCATGGCCCTTGTGCGTTTACTGCCACTGACTAAACAAACCACGCAGAACGGATGCGCCGCTACCCTGCGCTCTTTGTTGCATGATTGCTTCAGCCAGTAATGCGGAGTGCAAGTTCGTCCGCATCTCTTGAAAGGTTAGTGGTTACGTCAGAACGCCGAGCTCTGATTGGCTCTAATTGATAGGTATTGGATAAACCTCAAGGCAGCTTGCTTCGAGGTCTACCCACTATGCTTCAATCAGAGCCAATCAGAGCTCGGCGTTCTGACGTTACCCCCACTTTATGCAAAAGAAGCAGACGAACTTCAGCTCCGCACAGCAAGCCCACGATAAAAAAAGAATGAGCGACGTGGCAACGCACGTTTCCATCAGCCTGATTGGTTCCATACAGGTGTAGCGTTGTCTGCGCTCGGACTTAGAGTGAAACTGTGTATGATAAGATTCAGAATGTCGAAAGGACTTAATATACCATTTCAATACTTGTCTTTAGCGTGCTGGCACATTTGCCAGTATATAAGTTTGCGGGTACGACTCTCGGACGCCGCCATCTTGCTTCTGGTGCGAGCAAATCGTCTGATTGTCAAGCATTGCCTAGTCTGCAGGTACGTCACAGCAACGGTTGATTATCAGACGATCTACCCGCACGAGCAGCAGAATGGCGGCGTCCGAGGGCCGTCCGTACCCACAAACACCTGCATCTTACCCTGGGCTGTAAGACCAGCTGTGAGCATGCGCAATTGCTGTCTTCTTTAGGTTATCAGACACCGCGCTTGCGTCGACAGCCCATACCCGGTTCATTTGGCCAGGCTGATAAGCACTGGAAACATGCCAAACGGTATATGCTATATCTGCACCGCAGGAGTCTACGCGCGGTTGAAAAGCTCAGTGGGTCATCTGGCAAGTCCTCTCCTGCGCACGATCAAAAGTTCAGAACGCCGCTGCGTCAAGTTCTGGTTCTACCTGTCCGGCCGGGAGGCTGAACAGCTCAACGTCACCCGGGTAGTCAGCTTCAGCGTCGAGAGCGTCATCTGGGCTGTCCGAGCCTCCCAGGTGCCTCAGCGGAAGTGGCTGTCGGGCTCCGTTGACCTCCTCGGAGACAAGGACGCACTAATGGTGAGAAAATAATTTTGCGTTGATACTTGTCGAAGGGGTAGCGATATATGTAAGAACGCTCCACGAGCCTTCTTGCTCGTGTCGGTCTAACTGCTTGACGTCACGATGTCTCGTGGCTTCATGGTGTCTATGCTCGAATCAGAGCTAAGCCGACAGTGCGGTGAAAGCTATGTGCTTTGTTGAACCAGTGTGCGGCTGTCATTTTTTACGTGATCATACTCCCGCAAAGACCCACTCGTATAAAGCAGGGCCAGATGATGAAAGGGAGCTGGTCGTTTCGTCCGCCGAGCGCGTAGCTCCCACCCCACTGTTTCCTAAAGTGAGTGCGGAGTAGGGTGGCATCACTCTCGCGGCTGACTTCAGCAGGGAAGTCATCGTGGTATATCGTCAGATTGATCTCCCCGGTAAATTTGGCGGAGAAATTTGCATTTTATTTTTAAGTTGTGTCACATGACCTGAGGGGTCAAGTGAGGTGACGTCATCGATTAAAGTGGCGGGACATCAATTTCCAAACTAGATTTAGCACAAGAATATGGTGTCGCGAGACGTGACGATACTGTGTTATGTGCTGTTACAATGTCACATAACATGATACCATATTTTTCCTCAAAACTTAGCGGGGAAAAAACTCATTGCACTTACGCAATTCGTAAGGTGTAATTTTGCAACAGCAGAGGTCTGATGTCGAACCCGCTAAGGTGTCATTTCGTTGAAGATGGACTGAATGAACGGTAAGGGTGCGAGCACGCGGCTTAAAGCCCACATAACTATTACGTATTAGACTGAGTAACACACCGGACGAAAACTCCAAGACGTTTGAAACTAATGAGGGTGTATTAAATACAGAGCGTTTTTTTTTTAAACCTGGTGAACAATTTCTTTGGACACTTAGTGAGACTGCTTTGAGGTACCTGAAGAACACTTAAATATCGCTCAACCAAGTTAGAAATTCAGGGAATGACGAAACTGCGTGTTTGAATGAACCGTTCCTTGTCGTTGGGGCGGCTGTTCTGAATGTCTTATGCAATGCTATTGCACACAAACCAATGCCTCGTTATGGTCACTGAAGAGCACTTCCGACATGGCGCACTCAAGTTTCAGGCATTTAGCTCCCCCTACTTTCAGTCCCGTGGCTTCGGCGGCTTCACACCCACCTCACGTTATCGGTTTTATCGGCCGAGAGTCATTCTGGCATAATAAGCGAAAACGCTCTGTTTTTTATTGTTTTCATTATCAGCAGTTTCAGGTTTGTTTGTGCGTGCCATCATGGTGCGCATGTCGACGTATTGTCACGTGATGTTTTGAATGTCGCGTGACGTTCCAGTGCCACGTGACGTCATTAAATCACGTGACTCATGTTGTCACCTGAAGTCGTTACGTAGAGTAGCTTCACTCCGCAACGTGACTTGATATGTCCATCTGCACGTCAAGGTGTCAGCTTACGCCAGGTTACAGGTGACGCGATATACCGCGTGACGTGAGAGTCATGTCGACTGGTGGCGTGACGTTATCGTCGTCACTTTATTATGAAATATTTTTGCGGAGTGCCGGAAATCTTCTCTGTCGGTATAGAGCGCGATCGACGGCTCGAAACCCGTGAAAAGTCCGACAAATTCCTGTGGCCGCAATATATCCGGAAATTCGACAGCAAGTGCTGGTCGTTACAAACCCGCTATAGCGCTATCCCGTATTCAATAGATTTGACGGAATGTTAATTGATGGTTTGTTTGCCTATTGTGTCAAAACGACACACCAATAGTGACGAAACATTTCTGTACTAAAGTTTATTATTTTTATACAGAAAAATGAACAAGATGTACCTTAACTCTACGAATAAAGTCGAGATACATTAGATGTGCAGTGATAAGACGAGTATATTTTAACTATGTTCAAATCTACCCCACAGTGCAAACTGAGCACTTTTTTTACTTATCCCGACGTCACAGGAGATGTCATTGCAGTTCATGAGGGAATCCCCTTCCGGCTTCTGCAGCATACAATTTGCACCAACGAATTTGCTTTGCACAACAAAAAGTAGGAAAAAACCCTAGCAGGGTGCCATATTGTCGCGAGCAAGCTGTGTATAAATGAGGCTCTTTCTTTTCGTTGCGTCAGTGCTGTGTCAGCGCTCTGATGAACGTAGCCATGCCTTTCATGGTGAAACACACAATGCTTCACTATACTAACTCTGAGTCAGCGCTGACAGTACCGCCGATGCAGAGCGGCGTTTCTTATCTCTCAGCCCTCATATGCTTTCGAACTCTCTCAACTTCAGCAAATGAATGCTGGAAAGTACGTCGCGTATTCTCTAGCGACAACTCTGCTAAAGTGGAAAGTGCTGGCAGCAGCCTTCCCTGATTTCTTAATCCTTCACCCTACTTTAGAATTTACCGTATTCACTTGCCAATTAAGCGTATTGATCTAGAACTATAATCCAGTGTGCTTTCCATAACCCAAAACATCTCTGAGACTAAAAGTTATAAAATAGCGGGCAACACGACGCATCTTTCTGGTCACAGGTTTTTAGAACATGATGTTTCCTCACCTGCCCTCCTACGTACTTTCGCCTTCTGCGTCTGCTTTTTATGCCGCGTCACAAATAATAATTTCGACTACATAAGAAACTCTCACAATCAAAGGGTGTTGAAGAAACGTTTCTTTACAAAGCTGCCATTAGGGGAGATGAGAATCCTTACGCGTGACAGCGTTTGTTCCACGCCCACCGGACTCCTTCCTTCAATATCGATGTCTGAGTTAACACAGTACCACCTTGATAAAACTATGCCGAAGACCGTTCCCTTTCTGAACGTCATCCAACACGCCTGCAGCGCCCTCTGGCTTTTGTGAGCATCGTCGCCAGCGCGGTTGGCAGTCTCTTACTCAGAGCCCGACGCTAGAAGGGGGCGGAGCCAAGAAGAACGCGTCTACCACTTTGCTACGTCTGCCGTCCAGCTTCGGTGTGTTTGCCGCTTTGGGGCTGATGAGCAATCTACTAATGATGACAAAGTTACAGGCTTTGTCTTCTACGTCATACCCGCTAACTGCCTCCTCCACGCCGAAATGGACGCGCCCGCAATCTTTGCAGTGTGTGCCTTTTGCTCTAGTACGCACCTTAGGTTCCTTGACACGACACACATGCCTGTGTCTCGGCGTGTAAATGACCCGAACCAGTCTACCCCTCTAGGCTAAACGAAAGCACCAAGCTCATACTAACGAAAAGTACAACTTTCCCGAACTAGATTGTTATTTCAACTCAAACCAATATCCCGTTGTTTACTCTCGAAGATGGACCGTCCTCTAAATGTTACTCCCCACTAACTTTAAACATACAAAGGAGACAAACTGTCGTCTGCTAAGGCTTATGAAAATACTAAGAGGCTGAGACACTCAGAAAACTTGAGCAGATCCATGGAGACAAAACAAACCAACGGCCGCGTACGCAAATAAACACGATAGTCAACCGATGGGATCTGAATATACAACAAAATCTCACTTATGCGAGCATGGGTTGAAGGGAAGGTCCCGGGCCTCAACTGTTCTGCCGATGTCTTGCGGCGCAAGTTGGCTAAGATCTATGCACACATGCCATGAAAACAAGGATTCGTTCTTACCACACAAAAGTATCATGCGAGAACACATTTTTTGGTCATCAATTATCGGTCCAGTCGTCTGCGAACAGAAATTCTTACTGCCACGTACGACAAAAACGACACTGGTTATCACTATGAAAACATGACCCCTTACACCAGCCATAAAAATGATATGCAACTCAATAAAATCTTTGTGCTGGGTGTGTTCATATAAGGGCTGTCTTTATGTTTTCAATTATATTTTTATTTCAAGTAGCGAAACCTGTCCATACAACGAGAAAGACTTTACTTTTCCAAGATACTTCTTTGTCTTCGCGTGAAAAATCGCATTCGAGAGAAGGTTGAAATAACGCCTTTCGAAATTTGAAAGCTGGAGGAAAAAAGAATGCAGCTTTCTATGCAGGTAGTTTTTTTACGTTTAATGCACGCATACGTTACTTCAATAATAAGTTCACTATATGAGCATATATGTCAAGCGAAATAAAATGCCAAACTTGGTCTCTGGAGCAAATCTTACATAATGGGGCATTTTTCAGCAAATTTTTAAGTCGCTTTAAATTTATATTTTAATACTGAAACCTTTTGTGTCGAGTGTCTTATGCTTTCAAAACGTTAAACAAATTAATTGGCGTTCTACTGTTGACGGTGGTTTCTGCAATGCGCCCGGGAATTTCGTCGAAATCGAAAAAGTCAAAAACGTGCGAATTTAGTGTGGCAATTAAAAAAAATAATCATTCTCAAATTTCTTTAAATTTTATCCGATAGGCCCTTGATGACCGGTAACTACAAATCTGCAAAGACATGTTGCATAATTATGTTTTAAAACAAGAAGATAAATGCGTAACCGGGTCGTGGACGCATCAATTACCGCTGTGGCGTCTCTTCTGTCTTAACGACTAGTGGTACACGAGCGACGCATGCCAGAGTAACAGCACTTTGTCATATTATTACCCAGGTGCCACGAAGCACTCTAAAAACACCACCTGATCTTGGTTTCATCGCTGATGTGGCTGATATTGCCAATGAAAAGTCAATGTTGTGGCGCGTCTGATCCATATTAGGGTGTTATACTTGGCTGGTTCGATGTTCATCATGCTACCCTTTAAGGTTAATACTTTAATTTTAGTACCTTTCTGACAAAATAATTTGGTTCGTATTTCTGGGCACCGCTCGAAAGCTTGATGACATAAGAGTTCGATTCATTTCTCGAGGCATCGCTTGGAAGGAGCGATATTGCGGAATCTTCTACCCCGACCGATGGCCGGCTGTTCTAGGGCGGCACGATAATAGCTTAGATCTTGAGAAACAATGGCGAATAAGTGGAAATCAAGGTTGAGATAGAGGGAATTTAGGTAGCGTCAGCGGTTCAGCGTCGAAGGCACCAGACAAGCGTGCGCACGGGCGCTACTC